CAAATGGACTCCAGTTTTCGATGCCATTATTTGACATACACACACACACACACACCCCTAAGGAGGAGTGAAAAAGTCAAAACGTGATAAACATGATTGAATAGGCACTTAGTACGACCACAACCATCTTCAGCTAGGCTGTGGCAAGACTAATCCCCCCAATTAGTATATTGAGGGTTGAGGGGGAAACAGGGACGTTGGGAATGGTCCATATCGACTTAATGTTGTTAATAAAAATTACAAAAAACAATTATCTGATTTTTACGTCCTACGCCACTGGACGAGGAAGTATTATAGTTGCGAAAAATTTCGAAAATGAGATATTGTTATATGTTTTTTGAATGTTATATGACACGAACACCACGAAAAGTCATGACATTCATTTCCGTCGGTCTGTCTATACGCTCATCCTTGGCCCGTCTTTAACTTGAGAAGTTAGTTAGTTAGTTAGCAGCTCTGTAGTTTTCGAACATCGGTCCAGTGGCGGCGGAGAAAAAAGTCCAAAAATGAAAAAATAGAAGTTGCTCAAACGTCGTTTTTTTGACGTTTGAGAGGGTCCTGATCATTTTCAGAACATTTTGTGAAGGGTTGAAGTCCGGGGATTGGGATTTGTAGACGGTAGGAGAGGGTATATGAACATGTTTTGATCTTAGTACATTTATACGCTTCCAACCACGGGAATTCTAAACACCTAATAGCCATAATTCGCACATCAAAGATTTCCCGTACATTTTCCTTTAAAACTTAAAATGATAGTGAAATGTTTTCGATCCGCGTACTCCTGCTATCTAAGCTCACCGCCTGGCGAACCAGTCCGGCTGATTAATCTTTGCGTAGTGCAGCGCAAAGAACACACACGGGGCAAGTCATGTACATGTTCGTAACTGACTTTTTCTCATAGGATTTAAATTGCGCTGAACTTAATCCTTTATAAACGGCGTTGCGTAGGAAGTGCAGAGTCAATCTACTTGACGCTTTTATCCAACAATAATTTGAGCCAAAAGCGACTAAATCGGCCATATATGTGTGTAGTCTAATCATATTAGACAAAAATACCACTGGTTTGCGAAATATAGTAATTGTAAAGTCTGGTTTTATTGTTGCAAGTTGTTCAAGAGGGTTTAAAACATGGACGCATAAAATGGGTACACCAATCTTTGTGGGAAAGCTTTTTATTCGAGAACAAAGAATGAGAAAACGTGTTTTTTGGGATTCAATCGAAAGTGTTGGCAGGAACGAAAAAACTCTTTATACAGGGTGCGGCAGAGAGGATGGACTGTTTTAAAAAAATCATAAAATAGTTAATTCGAAAACAAATGTATTGATGGAATCAGGTTCACAAGGAAATATCATTTGAGACAGTCAAGTGTGGAAAATCACATCAGGCATGTGGTGGCCGAAATCGTTGATGCAGTGCTGGAGGCGTTCTTGGAAGTTCGCGTAGACTCTCTCCAACATCGCAGCGGTCTTTCGTGTACCTGTTGCGGATTTTTATTAGCCCAATAACGACAATTCTGCTGGTTAACCATGCTGTTTAGGTGAAAGTGGGCTTCGTCACTCATAAACAAAATGCGGTTCTCATTTTGATCGATCAGTGCTTCCATCTCACGTGCGAAGTTCATTCGTTGTGCATAATCTCCGGGCTGTAACTGTTGCACAATGGCCAATTTGTAGGGGTGAAAGCGGAGATCCATAAGCAAAATTCGCCTTACCGAACGATCACTAAGGCGAAGTGCAGCAGCATGTTTCCGGGCAGATCGAGTCGGACTGCGAAGAAAGACCTGTCGAACGCGTTCAACATTTTCAGGAGTTCGAACTGTTCGCGGCGCTCCTCTTGGTCTTCTGTTGATCAGTTAACCACGCCTGCGAAGTGATTCAACCCAACGAAGGATGGTGTTTCGAGAGGGAACAGCTCTATTCCGATGAATGTTGAAGTGGCGACGAAACTCACGCTGTACGGCGATGACGACTCATTATTTCGGACGAAACAATCATAGGCGAAAACGCGGTGCTCCACCGTCCTAGGCTCCATAACAACTGGTAAAATAATGCTAGGATCTCACGAGTCAAACGGCACCCTCGCCACCTCTCTCGTAGACGGAGGCGGAGAGTACTACCCATCCCAAAAACGTCCGTCCTCTCTGTCGCACCCTGTATACGATTTTCAGGTATTTAAGAGACCTACAAAATGAGACCACACGTAAAAAGGTCTGACTAATAACAAAAAACTTATGGCCGAAAACCGAGGCAAACTGCAGGTTTTGGCACTTGTTGGTTATACGACGATGGTTTCTCACAGATACTTGAAATTTTCCAAATTCGTAGGATTCGTACTTCTAAATAACCACAACAAAATTTGAGTGAATTGGTCAAGAAGTTTTTAAGAATTTCTAATTGTTTATCCCAAAACACCTGTTTTCCGGTCATCACTACTAATTTACTGAGCAATATACAGGGTTCGTTCGAAGAGCATTTTTTAAAGTTTACCTTGCCGATATGAATCGCAAACCATTCTGGACGATAAATGTTATTTTTATGCAAAAAAGGATGGGTTACGTTTTTTCTTCCAAACAAATTCAAAGATTTCGTATTTGTGAGTAATTCGCAACAACATATGATATACACATCCGCTTTGTTTTAAAATGTATATAGTAATGTACGTTTGCTATTAAATGCTCTTTGAACGAACCCTGTATATTGCTCAATAAACTAGTAGTTATGGGATAAACAATTAGAAATTCCCAAAAATCTTCTTGACCGATATACTCCAATTTTGTTGTTATTTAGAAGTATGAATCCTACGGATTTGAGAAGCAGTTGCGTGAAATTGTCGTCGCATTACGAACAAGTGCAAAAACCTGCCATTTTACTTCGTTTGTCTGTGACACAAACTCCCCACAAAACATAATTAAATGTTAGTACCTTGGCGTGGCTTCACCAGCCGTTTTTTTTTGTTGTCAGTCAGAGTAGGCATTATTTTTGGGAAGGTTATAAAAATGCTGCTAAAAAAAGGTAGAAATGTTTCGCAACGTTGTAAATTGACTTCAAGCCCTGTCAGTGGAGTCAAAGTTTAAACAGATACACATACATTTCAAAATGTACTCGTATTTCGTCGTAGAGTTACTAGTTTTTTCGTTGAATTGAAATGCGATTATGTACACGATTTAAAAGGTCAGGAATTGCATAGTTCATTCGCAATTTCGTAATCCACAACAAGATATATGAAAAACTGGCCAAACTTTAAGTGCAGACAATTAAGGTAGCTTCTGAAAAATCAAATAAAAACTTATTATATAGGAAAATGTTTCAGAAATTTCATGCTTATGCTTATTTTTAGTCCTATTTCTTTCATCTACAACCCAAAACAAACTAAACTCGTTTTTCCATCAAAAACGACTGATCCCGAGTTAATTCACACAAGTCACGATTTGACCGACCCCACCACCCACTTCGCACATAGCAAATACATGTCATATATTTTTACAGGTGGGACAGATAACAGGAAGGATGAAAGAAGTTGACGAAAACTTGAACTATTTGATGAGCAGGTTATCATTAGTTACACATGAGTTCAACCAAATCAAGACAGGCTTAGGCAAGGCATTGGATCAAATCAGGGATAACTTTAAATCTGTTCAAGATAAAGTGAAAGACCACGCACCGGGGAAACACAAAATAGCCAGCAATGAGATTGTGGAAACTAACTGAGACAGATAGAGGAAAGACGTCTCTGTCCGATCGCAAAGAATTGATTTAGTATCCGGAAAATTAATATTTATGAGACTGATTATGTTAATAGTAACGAAAATTACTGCATTTAAAATAAACTTACACAAATACTGCAAAACAACATATCTTTTTAAGTATGATAATCGAATTTTTTTTAAAACTGATCTTTTTGAACGGACTGTTCCTGATGAGTTTAAAATTTTGAATGTTATTTTCTTGAAGATCGAAACTTCATAACTGTTTGAACTCAACGCTCTTTATTCTGTGAAAGGAACGATCGGATTCGAGTCAATTTCTAGTTATAACCTTTTCTGTCATTCATGGTAAGAGTCTCGTGCTAACAGCGAATTGGTTAGAATGTAGTAATATTTATTATGTACGAAAGATGTGAAACGATTAATATTTGCCATTGTCCTAATCTTACCGCTTATTTCTTGTCTTGTCCTCTAGCCGGTTAAAACGCCATGAAAAATAAAAATAAGACAGGTTTTTGATCAGACCTCGAAAACGAATCTCTAAGTTTTAAGTGCAGGATAATATGAAATATAATTAGATACATCATTTTGTTAATACAGTGCAGTTTCGCGACCGGCCAGATCAACAAGTTTTATTTTAAGTAAGATAGCAACGTTTTATACTAAGATATTCTTGAATATATTTTAAAGAAATCCACTTATTTAATTTTCTACAGTGGAGCATTCCTCACATCGAAATCCACGAATTCCATTTTCCATAATGTGACATTCCTTACCTAGATGAAATTTCGTATTTATAGCTGGAATAAATTAACATTCGTTTCGAGGATGAGGCAGCAATAAAGGTTAATTTGTCACATTTTGAGAACATGGCTCTGAAAAACCTATTATGTCACGTTAGAACATATTACAATACAGATTTGGCGCGAATTTCATGTTGGGGGGGGGCAGTTTAGACACGTCTGATCCTGAAAAAAAATATTTAAGGGGCAAAATATTGATATTCCCTAGATACAAAAATTCCAAAATTGTGATTAGGTCTGATAACCCTGCATTTCAGATACCCCACCAACTTATGGTATAAAATACCATACTTCTGGTCTCAATATCATTAATAGTGTTTCTACATAAACGCCATGGAGAGATCTTCAGACCATTGACATCAAATGCTGAAAAATTAAACATGCTGAGCTCCTCGTCGCATAATAATAGTTCCACAGTTCTCCATGCATTTAAAATAAGGATGTTGTTTCAAATGAACATTTCTTATCTAAAGAGTTTGTAAGGAAACAACAATTTCAATTATCATTTATTTCATTTATGCAAATTATGCGCTAGGTACAATATAGAATGCGAATCGGCTGCTGAATCCAGCCAACCCAACAGATTTAAAATCTTTCATACCCAAAATTTGGTACTCAGTACGTACATTGGATCAGTTTTTTTCTTATTTACCCACAGATTATCTCAGACTTGATCAAAGGAAACATAGGCTCATAGAACATTAGCAAACAATCTTCACCCTATTATATCTAGAGAACTATTGTTATATCTCGTATCTGTCAGTTTTAGAGCCGATATTTTTCTTATTATTTTGGCGGGAAGTTCAACGTTTGCTAATGTTGTATTCAATGTCAACTAAATTAACTGGTATTGATAACCTTTATACATTCTTGATATGCCATTATTTATTAGTTAATATTTTCCTTACACCTAATAAATATATGTACATCCATTTTAAAGGAGAAAGTATTCACGACCACATAGGCTGATAACAGGTGTTGCTTAATTTACATAAAAAATATTTTAAATTTTACTTGGTGTCTCAAATATCACACTGACGTCACTGAAATATTTCTTGCGTACTCTTATGAATTCAAATAATTGCAAGCAATAGAAGTAAAGTTTAATATTTAAACATAAAACGTATTAATAATAACTGTATCGAAACTCGGTTGGGAATAACCGAGCATCGACTGATATTTTTTTGACGTAGTTTCCTTTGATTTTTATATAAGCAGTGGCCATGAAATACATGTTATTCACTCTAACCAAATCTGTGAGCAAAACAAAAAAACCAATCAAAAGAAAAAACAAGTATATATACAATTTGCATTGTGGCAGTGTACTATGTTATATTTCGATTGTTGGACCAATCGACAAGTATCCATTTAGACAAGAAAAGGCAAAAATACAGCTAGGTATTTACTAAGGATATTTTAATGTTATATCCTCTAATCTTAAAAATATAGCGGAATAACACAATCTTCCACAAAATTAAGACGAAAAACATCCTTCAGTGGTTCTTGACTTTCATCAGATTCGTATACTCAAATTTTCTCAAATATTTAGAGATAATTATCAACGAGAATTGCAATGTAAAATAAATATACAATGCAAATATAAAAATAAATATTAGTTCTAAAACTGTTTATGTGGCAATTTTACATAGTTTTGGTAGAAGTTTTCGAAAAAGAAATAATCAAACCTAACCTTGCTTGCAGTTCTTTAAACTGTTTGACAAAAATGAAAGTCAGGTAATACTTCTAACTTCTTCCAATTTTGTGAAGTAGTGTGAAAGTGCGGTGCGCTACTAAATATTGGCGAAATAGTTTACTTTTTGTATAATTTGTTAAATAGTATTGCTAACGTTAAAAAATTTGAGTCAAAATAGAGGTGGTATAGATGGCGTTTGAGTTACATACATTGATAAGTAAATATATTTTGTGCACTTGAACGTACAATTTTTTTCAAATATTTATACACAGAGGACGGATGGGTGTAATATTGTATACATAATGTCTCAGAATCAGCATGTGGTGCATATAATGAAGCTTAAAGAATCTTGACGAAAAAATCCAATAGAGATCACACAAGTACCAGAGGAAGTCACAGAGAAAATAAACTTCTACGCAGATCCTATAACAGCAAAGGACGGAAATGGGCAGGGCGGGATTTGAGTAATGAATATTCGAAAAAATATTCATATTCGCATTTTATGCATAAGGATCTGTATTCGCAAAGAATAAATATCACATTGACGCTTATTTTTTGAGTATAAAGCTGAAGCGATGTTAGAATCTGATCCAAAAATAGCAAAATCGTGCTCTAATTTGAGCAGTGCAGATAAAATAAAGAGCATAAGAAAAAACAAGTATTTTGAAACAAAATTTGATAACTGTAAAATTAAAAAAATGACAGTCAAAAAGGATCTGGTGTCAGGAACGTATTTATGACAGCCTGTATCTGCTTTTGTTTCTGTAAACATTTGAGGAATTGAAGGCTCAATGTAAGGTTTGTATATGAAGTCTCCCAAAACTCAGCAGAAATTATATCAAAATTACTGTACAGTAACGAGTGGATATTCAATATTACGTCATGCTTAACTGACACTACACGTCAATCATGTGTCTCAGGCTCATTCAATCACTACATGCTAATTTCGATACAACCTGTACATTAAGAAATTTTTTGCACAAAAGCGTCGCTAAAGTAATTCTATAGTGCAAGAATTCTTGAGTATAAAGATATACTGTTGGAATAAAGCCGTATTTTTGCCAAAAAAATATTTAGTTACCTTTATAACAACGGACTAACTCCACTATGTTGAAAGTACCCACAAATTCATCCAGATCCGCCGCAATCGTGTTCTTGACAAATTGTGTAATGGGTACTTTCTTCTGTTGTAAATGGTATGCCAAAATGTATCTATGTACAATCAATATTTTCATTCTTACACACTTAACCAAAGAATATGTAAGCAGGATTTTACAAAATTTCGACAATACAAGCGAGAAACTTTTCAACTAGATTTGAGGGTTGTTGGATGAATTGTACCAAAAGGTTTAATAAACTTCTCTGAGGGTATGAGTGTCTCCAGAGAACGTCTCCGGCCTGTATTTATATAGGATTCATATTTTTTCGGTCAAAATAAATGAAAAATCGTTTATTTACAAATACAGGAGAAAATTATGCCAATGGCAAATAAACGGGCGATGCTGTGTCTTTTGGGTTCTGCATTAAAAAATATAATATATATTTCAAAACTCAACTAATATAATAGCAACCAATATCTAACAGATAATCTATTATGTGTAATGATAACAATGTGCGTACATATAAAGTGAATTAAAAACCATTTGATCATTCATTGCATGGTAATTACGCTAGAATATAAGTAAAATCTCTCAAAAATCAAACAAATTTGCTATGGCATTCTAGACATGTTTTACTGCTATCTATACACGGGGACTTCGAAAAAACTTGCACTATTTTTAGTGGAACTAACAAAGCCGGTAGAAGAACCTTGCTGCATTTAAGTCCGTCAGGAATTATAAAAAATCAATGTTTCATTTTTGCCAAAAGTTGATAAGGTTTATGAGTAACCTCTTATTTTCATCTGATTTTATAAAATGTTATGTTAAATTTTCCCTGTGTATAGATGGCGTTCACACTTTATGCTAGATATTTAAGTTATAAAATACAATTTAACTTTATGATTTCACTGAAATAAACGAAAATAACCACCTAACTTATTTCACAACTTGTAAATCCTCTACAATGTTAGCCCGGAATTTACGACTACAGAAGTTTGCCTAACAATTTCTTTAATGAAACTTGTTAACACAAAAGAGAGCCACATATATTCCAAAATTCCACTAGAAGTAATCTTAGGAAGCCTCTGCTAGGTATAAGATGTAGCTATTTCAATTTTTAAAAATGTGGATCATGATAAAGTATTATTTCGGGTTTTATCAAAATTTTTCAGGCAAACTTACAAATAATTCCTGAACTACATATAATCGGCGGAAAAGGCCATCGAGATAAATATTAAATAATAAATGCAATAAAGTTACATGTTGAATTTTTGTGCCTTAGTACAGTGAAGCTCATCAAATTCTCATTCTTGCGTGTAAACTGTACAAAAATTGTTATTTCTCTAAACTACTGAAACCCAAATTTTGCTTGTTTTCAAATAATCTTCTAAAATATACATAACGATCTCAATTTTACAGATTCGAGATTCAGGCAAACAGCTCACTGCATTTGGTATTACCCAACGAATTCAGACTAGGAAGAAGGAGCCAATTGAGGATTTGTTGATCTCCTAACTCTCATAGTCTGTTGTGAGGATGAAAGTGCATACTATAAGTACTCTTGACATAAGTAACTTTTTTGACAGTTGTCATTAAATTCGTATTTCCAGTATTATTTTTTGAAAGTGCGAGTGTTTGCAGATAATTATGATAAGACGATTTTAAGACAAGGTACCTCTTACATTATTTGCAAAGGCACAGGCCTAATGAAGGCAGATTATTGTTATCTTGATACAGCAATGTCACTTTGGTAGGCATTGGTAGTAAAATGAGTGAAAAGTATGCACTAATACTAATTTTGGCGACAAACAATGCAATGTAAAAGGCTGGCTCCTAATCTATTCAAATTCGTTGGTGTTACCTAAATAGGTTATTACCAGTACCATTCTTTTTGAAACTTAGTTAATGATCAATAAGTTACAATTATAAATTCAATTGAGACCACTTGTATAAAACTGCAGTCACCCAACACATTCATTCAAAAAAGGAACTCAACATAATTCATCTTAGGTGTACAAACTGCTGCCGTGCCCTGTATGTATTCAATCAAATCGATAAATAAATGGTCGTTGTTTTTCTCATTTGCCACAAAGGAGGGGATTTAGGAAGGGGTATCTAGTTAGATATTGCTAAAAGGGGGAGGAAGACAGACGTATTCAGTCCATAACACACACTATATACAACCCGTAATTTATTTTATTTACAACAGTATGTACCTGGTGACCCAAAATTGATAACGGGGTATGGACTTTTCAACAAAATGTTTCAAACAACCATAAAATCTGAAAATGTGGTGATGGTTGCATCAGGTCAGATTTGATATCGGATAGACGTAACCGTGGCCGTGACGTCGTTCAATAAAGAGAAATTAAAACATTTATGTGGTTTGATTTGGACAGACAATAGAGTCCTATATATTCTATGCACATAGCATTTACGCCACATCAAACAAAGACAGGTTCTCGATCCGCTAAGGCTCGCACTACAATTCGTCTGTTTGGCGGGAACACAACAATAAGCTAATAGAGGCGAATTAATAAAAAAAATCGAGCGACCGCGTTTGTTGTGACGCGGAATAATTGATATTTGGTAAGGTTTACACAGTTTTAGCACTCGCCATATTGAGTTCGATATCAAATTGACAATGGCCTTAAAACGCTAAGGCTTTTTTGTTTCCTAAATGCGCTCAATGAAAAATAATAGTCGAAAAGTCAGAATTCCTCGTAAAAAAAACTTAGGTACCCTGTACATTGTACAAGCAGACTGCCAAACGCATTGAAAACGAAAAACACATTATTGTCAGACGTCTAGTTACTTAAAAAAGAAAAGGCGCTGAAAATTAAGCAACAGGGATTCATAAAAATTAGGCACTCTCCACTCCAATGAACTCAGTGGTGTAGTCTACCTTATCTAGGCATTTAAGTATATAAGACTGTTTCATTGGTCTGAAGTCACAGAAGTTAGTGCAGAATGTAAGAACTGCATCATTTTTGCTCAACATAAACTTAGTATTATTAATAAATAATTAAAGTGGGACTACACCACTGGATAATATGTATGTATAAGTACAATGCGACATCATATTTTACAGGCAGTATGTATTAGAGAAATAAACGGTGATTTCTAAACAAATTAGGAACTGTTAGGCAGTTAGGCGAATTTTCAAAATGTTGGAAAATGATGGAAAAAGCAATTTGTTCTTGTTATTCTGACGACGTGATTTCATACATATACAAAAACACAAAAATGTATTCTATTCAATTCAAAGATCAGTATGTTGAGTAAAAATATACTGTGTATACTGCACAACTAGGTTATCATATAAGTACTATATTTTTTAAAATTACAAATCAAAAGCACATTCAGTTTCCTATCTACATAAATACACCCACTATGATTTCTGCCTTAAGATCAAATATATGTTTCAAAAAGTTTTTAAATTCGTTCCAATGTATACGTTGCAGTCTACTTGAAAAATTCAACAAACTTTGTTTCAACAAATCAAGTATAGCTACTATTATCCTCTAATATCATAGGACAAAATCTGTGCTGGTGAAAATTTAGCCCATATTTGAATATGCTACATTACAAACGTTTTTACCTTTCAAAAATTGCACAGCTCTCACTTAAGAGGAACAGAATTTCATAATCATATTGCCATGATCAAAAGATCATTTAAGTCTAATTTCATAACTTACTCTTAATATGATAACTGATCCGATTTTGATATTCCAAAGGCTTCCTAAGGCAAGTATTTTTCCAAAGATTTTGTACAACTTTGCACAACTTGTATGCAAGAGAGCAAAGTGCTGTCTTAGTGTTGTCAGTTGGTTGACATAATACAAGATGCATCCGAGTCTATGTCGTTCAAACTGGGCCTTTATATGTGGATAGAATAGCCATCGACCTTGGGGAACGCCAAATCAATGAAGTTAGCATAATCAAAAAATGTTATTCTTTGTAAAGGTTATAAGTTTCATCCATAAACAGTACTGATTGAATTAATATTTAATTGTGCAAAAAAGTCACATCCTGGCACCTGAAACCCTGTTCCTCCTCTTTAATCTACCAACCATCCAAACTCAACAAATAAAACAACAAAACATAAATGGAAAATAAGAATTTAATCAAATGCTTGCAAATATTTTACAATGTACAAATATGTACATATTGTCGAGATGTGTGATCAGCGAATGATCTATTGGATAACTCGGGGCAGTCAATGCTTGGACAATGAGTGCCCCGAGTGTTTTCCCTAGCTGCTCGTACTGGCCATGGGGCTGACAGGTGACAAAGGGGTGCATGCGGCATCGTCCCGTAAGCAACTGTCAAAAAAATATTCTGTTATAAAATCGGCTACACCTCACCCCACTTGTTATTTTGATTTACAATTAATCAATATTGTATAATGAGCAACAAAATTAGCATCCTACTTGAACTCGAATGTACTTTCAACGTCAGAAAACCGGGAAATATCTAGATTTTCACGTAATTTTATATGACAAAGATGTAAAATCAAAACCGTTTATTTGGTAAGCCGCACTCGCTTCTCAGTGAAATTTTTATAGTATGTGATTACTACACCAGTGAAAAATCAAAATAATAATAATGATAATATTAATAAACGAGGTTAGAAATTTTGCGTATATTTCATTTATATTACTCATGACGCACGTGGCTATAGCTTTCACAAGCGTGGAAATCAAAAAATATCAAAAAATATTGTGACGGTGACGCCCAAAACTTGCAAAGTTGTAGGTAATTTGCATGTTTCAAGTTTGGGATTTGGAATGCTGTGTAACTGAAGGGTACCAACCAGCGTTCAGTTTTAATAGGCCCAAAACATTAAATTCTAGCTACGTAAACAGAAACCGTTTTTTTGTGTATGATTATTTCACTCATAAATAATAGCCTCATACATATTAAATATGTTTTAAGGTAAAAGAAGTATGTAATGTTACTTTGCCTCTTGAAAACAGGATAATAAGTCTTTGGCGATTTGTTTAATGAGATACATGTTTATTTTCCATTTTTTTTTATATTCCAATTACCATGAAGGCCTAAGGCCTAAACACCCATGGGGTACCGTGGGGCTATAGGGGGATACACATTCTGACCCCGCCTACGAGATCCGCCGGGTGATAATTTCTCTTGGGACGGGATTTGAACCCGCACAGCGCACGGCGACTGATCAGGAGATCGAAGAGTATGCTACTGCGGCCACCGACTTTCCTCTAATATTTTTTTATTACGTATTTCAAAAACACTGAAGAATACACGAAAATATATGCAAGAATAGAATTTCACGTACTTTCGTCAAAATATCAAGCCTATGCTATTTTGAAGGTCTTTAAGGGGTAAACAACGTTTTTTTGCAGTATTTTTTAAAACCTACCAATACTAATTTCTGGAAAACATAGAAGCTGTATCGTTTCCACTCTACAAGTTTAATATAAAACCATACAAATAATTACTATCAATCTTATTTGTAGCACGCCTCTCCGGAATTCTGACAAAAACGCGTAAACATTGTGCTAAAACCACTAAAATGATATGTTCATCCCTTATAACTTTTTCAAATTGGCATTTAAAGGGTCCATTTTTTTTTTCACTGCTAAGTGAGAAGTATCATTTCTCTATCTAGGTAAATAATGAAAGCAAAAAAACACCTCAGTATCCTGACAATTTCATTGTGTGAGTTTGACAAATGAAGTTTATATTTGGAAATATTTTAGAAAGATTCACAAAATAAATAATTAAGAGTATATCACCTCATGTAGTTCTTCTTCTTAAATACCACAATAATCAACATTAGGTTAGAAAACGGCTCTTTATGTTAACAAAAAGAAAATGTGTATACCTTAGAGCCGTTTTACACACAAGAGAATTACTCCGAAAATTATGGTCATAATTATGCCAAAAATTTTTGCTGTTGTATTACACGAAAAAGAATCCTTCTGAAAATTTTCATGGTAAAAATATAAAACCCATTCTTTAGAATATGCGCGAGAATCGGCGCAGAGGGTTATTTCCGTGCATGTCAATATCAAATGTCAACGACAACAATAACAACATAACCTCACTTAACATTTGTGGGAGTGGTCCTGTTCGAGTCGTACGAAGGAGCGTTTATTGTTATTGTTTATTCATAATGTCGTGGAATCGGGAAGAATTTACACTGTTGTTGGAGGAGTACCAAAAATGGCCAAACCTGTACAAGGTGAAGTCACCCAATTACAAAAAGAGAATTTTGCGGCGTCAGCCGCTGGATGCGATAGTCCAAGCATTGAGAAGTTTTATAATATTAACCAAGATCTCGATTTCAAAAATAAATTTAAATTATCGACTTCTGTTGTCTTTCCGATTATATTGGACGTCATACCCGTTAAGGTTATGTCCATTCGAAAATATTACTCTAATGCGCAGGCGTATCATATGAATTACTCCGAAATTTTGTTTGCTTGTGTCATACAGGTTGTAGAGAAAATCTTCAATATTTTTTCCATGCAAATTTTCAGCATAATTATGACCATAATTTTCTGAGTAATTCTCTTGTGTGTAAAACGGCTCTTACGCCATTTGGAGGGAGCAGCCCAAACCAAAAATCATACTTATAAAAGTATCTCGCATTGCCCATTATTTTTTTGTGTATACCCCCTCACAGACCCTCCACCCCCCCTTTGTACTATTAAGTAGTGTTTGATAATATTTACAAGTTTGGTAGTTTTGCAATATTCTCGACAAATCCAATAATTGTGATATGTATATTTCAAAATATTGGGGCGAAAATATTGCTGCTCAGTATACCTTGTTAATACTATCTTTACCAAAAAGCTTGTACAGTGCACACAACAATTTTTCATGTTTATCTCAGAATTAAGATTTTATCAGTATGCATGTTTTTCATAGATTAAAAAACATAATAATCATACAATAAATAAACTAATGTGAGCCACATTAACCTGTCTGCAAGGTGAGTAATAATAATAATAATAAGTACTTTAGTTTCTCTGGTGGAAAACAAAGACTTTCTCAGAAATAAATGTTCTCCATACAATAAAATATATAATAGCTTGTATGGATTACCAACAATGTATAATAAATAATATAGATATCTTTGCTAAGTCAGTAACAGCAACAGAAGTAATTTATGTCGGAAATAAAAAATTAACATTGTCAATAAAGTTATATTAGTCAATATGAAATTATGACAATGTGGATAACTTTACCAAAACAACATGAACAAAATTGTTTTTCAAGGAAAACCTTGTGTCAAGTATACATTTGAAAATCAGGATGTATTAAGGGAGGAATATTTATGATGAGATGAATAAGAAGTACTTACCCATTTATTGTGACAAGAAGTTTTCGAGATCCTGCAAGATCTCTATGTTCACACAGCCAAACACCTTGCCACTTGCCCAAGTTTAGTTTGCCTTCTGTTATGGGAATGGTTAATGATGAACCCAGAAAACATGCCTTTACATGAGCGGGCTGAAATAAGAAAAACAGTCACTATTAGCAAATTGTCATAGATACAACAGGAAAGCAATCAATATGATCAAATATACTGCCTCACTACTTGACCTCTGTGTTTGTCTAATTTATGAAAGTCTAAGTCTAAGTTAAAATGTTGTTAAAAAATATTTGTGGAGATAACACTAACTCAGATGGATTACTTGAAGGTAACATATTATATGTAGCTACTATACCCTCAGATATAATTGAATTTAATTTTATATGGATTTGAGTACAAGCAACAGTTCGCAATAGCACATGAGTAAATAATAATTCAATTACTGCTTTCACCTACTCCCAGAGCTTCTTTCAGTAAAAATAACAGCAAACCATATACAAGGTGATCCAAAAATCATGTAACAGCAAGATCTTTGCGAATATTCAAGGGCTATAGTAAAAATAAAATAGTAGGGGTTTAGTATTTTTTCCTGGCTATTTAGCGATGACCTTGAATTTGAAGGTGAGTATAACCATGAAGGTCAAATCAAAGTAAGGACGATTTTTTTTAAACTTGATTCTTTTGACTCTCAAAATGGACAGAACAGACAATCTTAATTCCAGATATGAACTTGAGTGAAAATTATTTTGGAAAACATTGTAACTAAGATCTTAAAAAAAACACTTTCACAGTAGGGGCTTCAATTACCCTGGCTAATCACTGGGGACCTTTAAAATGACCTTAACCATGACGTGGGCCAAATCAGGATCCACACAGTTTTTCTTGAATCACATTTGATTCAGAAATGGATCGGGAGGAAAATTTTACTCTTAGGCATGACCTTGGCCAGTGACATTCAAGATCAAAACATTCACTCAAATATCAAAATGTAAAATTTTCCATTCTATTTCCAGCATCAAAAGTATAGAGCCGCCCAATTTAAAAAAATTGTCTAGACCTTGATTTTACCTTCAAAGTTATGCTCAGGGGCAAATTTAAAGTCACCACAGCCAGAAAAAAATCCTGAACCTTGACTATCTTCCTTTTACAACACCACTTGATTATTCGAAATGTTTTGCTGTTCTGGAAGGCCTGGATGACCCTGTATCTTCACAACCATAATAGGAACGATTTCAGTAATACATTGCAATTCTAAATATTATTTTTTGTATCATAATTCCAAGAATTCGCATCATCATACTTCTTCCAACCTGTCTTATGATTATTTTTTTTGTAGTAACTATACTATACAAAATACATTGTAGAAAGGTCACATTGCTTTCCTAACATACTTTGTGCAATTTGCAATCTAAATCTCGAGCTATTTTCACAGTTGGACAAGAGTTATCAAGCTATTGTTCTTGTAAAATTTTGTGACTCTAATAATAATAAATATCAGCCTAAAAATATTGTAGGAAGTTCAACATTTTCTTATTTTACAAATAACAATTTGGATTAACTGGCAAGGTAACATTTTAGAGTCAATAGTAGCATCTTACATTGTACTTTATACTCTTGAAGATTTGTCATAATTTTCTAATAACTGGATGCTAGGCAAACAATATTCCATGCTCTTACCATGTCATCAGGGCCTTCACAGGAATGTCTGTATGGTAATCCTTCTGGAACAATCTTGTTTAGCATCATCTCCATGTCATCTCTTACATCTGGGTCCCAACTTTCATTCAGTGCTAAACTAGCACTTGTGTGCAAAACTGAAAAGAAAACAAAGTCAATTTGAGGAAACAGTATGAAAAGTATGTTTGCTCAGTTTAAATTAATTTAGGAATATAACAGTATCATGAGACCATTTAAAATGTAAAGCAGCATTCCATAACCTTTTTCAGCTGCAGGCCCATGCTTAAGATGCTACTGATTGAAAAATCAAGAGCAACAGGTTCACCAAAGGTAAGCAATCTTAGACTTTTAAGGATTTATTATTAAATGACATGAAACTGCAACCCACCACAGGCCACAAGTTGGGAAATGCAGATATTGTTGTTAATATAAAGGGGTCTAATATGAATGTGTGGCTATTTTTTAGTCTTTGTCATCTCAGGCAAGCTGAGATATTTGTTGACAGTTGAACATATTGTGTCTAGGTATGCAAATAACAGAATGAGATATATTATCAAAAGTGAGAAAACAATAACAAAAAGAGAACTGAGGAAGGAATGTATACCTAAATACATTCTTCCTGCTTTTTGCAATCTTTTCAGCTTCTTACAGCAGCAGTAAAAAACACAATCTCTGGATACTCTCCTACCATATTTTGATTTTTTTTATATTATCTACAAAAGTTGATCAAATAAAAGTTGGGGTGTATGTAAACCTTATTTGCATGATACGCCATGGATTTTACTTTGCAATAATAAATGTTTTTTGCAAATGAAGACTATAAAATATTCTTGGTAATCACTGCTTTACAGTACTGCAGAGTCATATCAATAATTCCATAAGCAAGAAAATGAGGTTATTTAATGCAGATTGCAGATATCTTTGCAGTAAACTGTTCAGAAATGTTACCAAAAACATTTTATAAAGAATCAAAGGTAACGACCAATATGAGCATTTTGATACTACGACTAAAATAGTAATAGATAAAAAAGGTATTTTTTGGAAATATAAAAAATCAACCACTTTTGAGGCACCTGAACCAGAAGTGATTGATTTTGTCTCAAAGTGATTTTCTTGCAATCCAAAGACTGGTTATATCAAGTATTGACTTTGAAGAAAATGCGAAGTGGAAGTAAAAAAAAATATACGGCAAAAAAAACCGGAGAAGTCTAGTGCCAATATGCCATATAGGAGTGACTTACTTTGCACATGACATAATCCCATGGCAAATTGGGAAAGTTCTGGTATCTGTCTCAGGATTTCTTCGGTGACCAAATGGACACCCCGATGCTGTGGTCTCAGATTTACATTTTTCTGAAACCACGCGGAATTACTTTGAATAATTCTAGCAGAAGAAGCCATGTTTGACTTGCTATCACTGTCGGTCGCCAGTTTGAACGTTTATCTGCGGACTCACAAGCAATCAAAACTATCAAACACCACTGGAACACCTTGATAACGCGTGTAAATCATTATTATCATGAGCAAATCATTGGGAATTGTATCTAAGTTGGTTCGAGTGAAGATGAAAGGTTACAAGACCCTTGCCGCAGTTATCAGCAGTTCGTTTCTGACACTTCGGGAGATGCCGGGAGAAATCGGAACTAATCGAGCGGGCGCGGACTCGAACGCGCGGCTTTTGAAATGATGGATACGGGGGTGCTCAGAAAGATTCTAATTTGCATATTTGAGTGCATGCCAATGCAGTATTTGCATGTCGTTTTCATTATCACAAAAGTTTCATAATTGTATAATGGATAATGACAAATGAAAACGGAGTAATAGTTATGAGCTACTGTGTATCTGCAGCATATGTCTATAGCCATATGACCACCCAGTAGCGGGTCTAGATTCTAAAATAAAAGAAACATACATATAAGAGGTGTCCATAATCCTGCAACTGGAAATAGTTCACATAATGACATTTTGTTTGGCAAAATTTTGTTTAGTTATAACTATCATGGTTTTCGAAATATACGTATATTAAATTAATTGCTGTACAGCAATTAATTTTTTTAAGAATCTACGCTCATCTAGTTGAATTGATGCAAATATCAATGTTTGTTGTTTCAAAATACCCACAACAAATATGTGTAGTTTTTTCTTCTGTTGTGGCTAAATTGCTAATTTGTACATTTAGTACGGTTTCAAAATGTTCCTGTTTTCTAACATTTTGTAGGCTATTCTCTTTTTACAGAAATGTTAATGCAGGATCGTCTTGTTTCGTGATTATCAGAAAATGCGTTTATAATACGAATAAGGAGTAAGAGACCAGACATTTGATGTATGTTTTATCAAATTATCTAGACTATGATATTTTTAGTTCGCGAGAATACTCCCTTTGCGAGAATTTTCTGATCCCATCTGAACAAAAGTCGATAGTGGGCATGTCCGCAATAAAGGAATAGGAGCAGGAGTAGACGGATTGGTAACCCAAGTGACGTATATGTTTCTGCTTATTGGCCCAAATGGATGTGCATTGAAAACATCGACCTGAAAACATATGCCCGTCACATCAGGATACGGGAGTAACCTGAAGAATAACAAGAATGGAAGCCGACAGTGTAACATGAAGACTCATCTGTGCATCTTCTAAGAATGATTGGGTAGTTTACAAATGCAAGTTTTTTTGAAATAGATTTCAAAAAGCATCTGTGAGTGGACCAAGCCACCACAACCCATAAAGTTTACAGCCTAACGGAATTTTTATCCTGATGATGGGGAAAGCGCGGAAAAGGGTGTTCGTAGAAGGGGCATTATTTGTTCGATTTGAGATGTAATAAAATGAAATATTCAACTGTGTAATAGAGATTCAAAGCATCAAGTATATTACAGCTGAAAGAGCTTTTATGGTAGAGTTTTCCTCGGATATAGGCTTGCTTTCACTTTAAGGTTAACGACTGTCCAACTCTCCCACCTGTCGAATTGGTAGGTGTATGATAGAATAGCTCAACAAATAATATGAAGAAAATCATTTTTTGATCTGATTCTTCACTTTAAATTTCTCCCATTTAAATGGGACACCACTGAATAAGTGGCCTTCTGTCTGACCTCTTGGTCCAAGAGGAATGTCCGGGAAGAACACGTACTCAGTTCTGTGGATGAATTTCGAGGGAATAGGGCTAGAAATGTTTCTGTTCTTTAGCGCTGAAATTCTCAATGTCCTGGTCATGATTCCACTTATTCATACAGTGGATATTTGGATTTTTGGTGAGATAATTATGACTTCATCATAGATCAATTCAGTATCTTTCATCATCTCAGTAATACTTTGATAATGAATCTCTCATACAACTTATCTAACTTATCTAATTTATATATCTATAGTTTTTCTTCCATATTCGATGAGCTAATTATTTGAATTGAAGTTAGTATTTTTAATTAATTATAACGAAAATCACTCCAATTTCATCCTTGATATAGTTATTTTTTAATATTTAATAAAAATATTTCTTATACGTATATATTCATAAATATTATAGATATTTGTAGTATATATAATTCATATATTTTTCTATATTTTTTCCAAATATTTAAAAAATATATGAGGAAAGATTTTTAAATGTCATTTTTATATTTTGATGAAATGTCTAATATTTACGAAATATATGAAGCAACCGATTTCCAAGCATTAATCTGATACATACTTCCAGTGGATAGTATATAGAAAATTCATTGGTTATTTTAGCAAAATGTGTGGGAGTGCTTTTATAAAAGGGTTTATCAAGAAAATTCATTCCAAATATGATTTAATTTGCTAAAAAAATATCATTAAAAAACATTATAAGCCTCTTGCAAATCCACTCATCTGAAAAAAAAAACTTACTAATTATGAAGTATTATTGAATACATAAGCTGCTATTCACTGGTCTTTTGTTTGAGAGAGATATTCTCCCTAGTAGTCAACTGGGTCCCTAAAAAGCAGCTCTATAATGCACCTAAAAGGACTCCATATTTTTTTCCTATGGGAGTTCGAGATTTGGTTAATTTTTAAGAAAATTTGGTATATTATTTCAGATATCTTGATGAAAAATGACCATGGGAACAACTTGATCCTTAGTACTCGTAATGGAGCTAATTTAGCCATAACTATTTTGTGATCTTATAATTCAAGGGAATAAATATAGTATTTTTGACTGTTAAAATTTGGGAACGCCGATGTTGAACTTAAGAATTTGAAAATAGTTATAGCTGATTTGCCCTCTACTACGACAAAAATAATAATTATTTAATTGAGATATTCGAAACAAGCATTTTCGATATACCTTGATCAAGTTGTGATTATATCACTTTTCATTGAGATGTTATGAACATAATTTTCTTATCCATTTTCAGATAAATCCACCAACCCCAAATCGCAAATAAGTGTTACACTTCGAGGCTCGTTATTTATATGGTCTTAACTATATACTCAACTGGCACAGTAATGCTCAGTAGTCAGATAAAGTAAGCTATGCAATTATCGCAAAACTTACCCTTTTCCACAAAAAAAACACTCAAATCATGTAGCACTTGGAGGTACACAGGAGGCATGCAATCATAGTGAAACTCACAGGCAAAGTGGATGCCGGCAAACGGGTCGGCTCAGGTCGGCTTGCCATTATGCCATTGGTCCCGCGGAGTCTCTCACACACACACATGCGCCATAGCCGAAAATATTTAATGAATATTTTCTAAATAATGGAGTTTTAATATTTTCCAGTGATTAAAAAGTCAATGTGTGATAAAAATATTGTATTAAAATATTTAAAAGGTATTGAATAAATCTTTAATAAAAATATCATATTCCAAACATTTATTAAATATTTGTTTTAGATAACAAATATTTAAGTAAGATCAAAAAATTTTTATTAAATATTGAATGAATATTGAATCAATATTTCGTGCTATCGGAGTTACTCATTCGGCTGACAGAGTAACTAAACAACCTGGTCTTTTCTAAATTAATACCTATTTTATCTAGAGAGTTAATAAAGGGATAAACTTCAACTCCCGATAATCAGTTGTTGCATTTCGTGGCCATGTGGCTCGACTCCCCTTAACCCCAATCGAATGTCAGACTTTTACTTGAGCATCTCCAGTCTGACACTTTGGAGAATGAAGTTTCTCGAACCGTGCTAAAAGGGAAAAGGTCCACAGCTTTTGAAGATTCTTCTGAACAGTTTTCAACTATTAAATATTTAACTGAAATGTAAAATCAACTAAGTAAGTAGTTGACCTTAGTGCGTGCCGATCTTAAAAAGCCTACTCAGCGTAAGATAGTAAATAGGTAAGTTACCTTACATCTTTTATCTCAAATCGCTATCACTTGATAAATTGATATTTGTCTTCGGTTTCCGTTACTCACCTCCAGCCGCACTAAATTTTCAATAACTTGAACTTTAAGTTATTGTCGGGATGTCCGCTCGAATTGACTTAGCTAATTTGTATTTGATTAGTTAAGTAATTACGTTTCACTTATTAAAGCAACAACGGCCAACCTGTTACAGCAGGCATATTTGTGGCAAGACTACTTGTCTTTCTTTGTATTTACACATGTGCTGATCGAAGTCACAAATGTGCCTGCTTTTCGATACACACATCCATTTGGGCCTGATGAAGCCAATAAGCAGAAACGTAGATCGCTCGGGATACCAATGCTGCTATTTCTGCTCCTGTTCCTTTATGTCGGACATGATCACGATTGTCCTTTTTTCATCTAAGTTGTCGTCTTTTTTTAATACGGTTATATTAACTTGTCCTGTATGTATGTATCTAACGGAATCTTTGAGTATAATTTTCACCAATTTCCAGAAGTCTGACAGTTAGTAATATACAGACAAAGAGATGTTAGAAAGAGTGAGTCGATGGCAACGCGTGGCCAAAAGGCACTCCGGTTGCTAGGCAAAGTGGTGTTTCTATCTCTTTCTAACACACGTATTGTACGCTTCTCTCTCGTACACATTACGTCGTCCGTGAAATACTTATATGAATTTATCTGAATAATATCCTTTATAGTAAAAAATGGTATGTTCTGACGAGCTGTTCAGCGACTTGACCTCTGCAGCAAATTAAATATCTAAAGCCACCTGTACACCAATTATACACTTTCGTGTTCAGTGTTATTTTTCCTGCATTGCTTGAACATGAAGAACGATTTTTTATTTACTTCCGAATGTCAATAAGTAGTTTCAATGAATTGCATGCTTATATAAAAAAGAAAATAGAGAAACAAGACACCAACTGAAGAAAGGCTATATCTACAAAAGATGGACTGGCAGTATTTCCCATTTCCGTGGCTATTTCAAGCTAAACCGTATTTTTTAAAGCTATTTTTATAGTCTGCGTTACTAAGAACAGATAAAAAACGCCTTTTCCTTACTAAATCAATTAATTTTTCTATGGAAGCCACGAGTTCTTTGTATTTCTGACAATAGAACGCAAGAGCGCGAGAGTTAACAGTCCCGTTCATTCTTAGCCATATTTAGTTTCAAATTGACACAGCCACAATATAATACAAGTCAGAGTTGCTTTAGAAGACGAGTTATAGCATACCGAGTGCTTGTTCAAACATGTCGAGCGATATACTGAGTAGGTAAAGGGGATGGCACTCGGTCTAGTAAGTAGAACAGGGTCCGAGTGACTGTCTCGCTCTCTTAAGCTGGCAACGGACGGTGGGCGATAATATAATATATATTATAGTCGTACGATGCGCTATAATATATAATATTAAGACTGCAAGGGACTACAGAATATATATATTTTCATATTTTTCTAGCAGTGGTAAATAGGCTGATCTGCTGATCTGTGCTGTACACAGTATATTTAATTAACAAGGTATCCCCCATATGTTAATCTGCCGCGCTTGAGTAAATCCTAAAATCCCCTCTTGGGTTTCCCTACTATTAGTTTTCAAACTACCTATGTATATAAAATAAATATTTACAAGTTCATACTGTCGGATATATCGCAATCAGCGATGATACTCCTCCAAGCTGCTTCTTTAATCTCATTATTTTCATACTCGTTCGAGTCTACCTGCCATAAACATGGATGATGTTTTCTTACACTTTCAATAAAATACTCCATTTTGTCTATTGCGAATTCCGAAGTGCAAGAACAAATAATAAAATAGCAACATCGCGCCAAGCCGGCTGCCAGCAAGAGCGGTTCGTGGGTATTTTCGGGTGACGCGACGCAAGAGGGGAATAGATATAGCGCGGGATGTAAATATATATTATAGCGTCCGTGCGTGGCGTCTCAATAGGTTTACACATGGAGCGATATTTCTGTAATATGCAGGATATAATATTATATTATATTATCGCTCCCCGTCCGTTGCCAGCTTTACTGGGTCCAGTGCTCGGCCGAGCGCTCGGTTAACTAACCGAGCACTACTTGCCAACTAAACATTTTGTGTGTAGCCGTATAGGTATCGGCGAAAATCCAACACCGATCGATCTCTCATAGTTATCGTTAAAATTATAATTCCGTTGTAAAATCCATCTGTACGATTTTCATAAATCTGGATCTACTTTTCGCTAGTTATAGTCTGCTTCACGGTCAAAGGCGGATCCTGCATTTGTGTCAGGGGTCACAAAAATTCAAGAGTGAGTGGCAGTGACCCTACCCATATACTTATACGGTGATGGAGCCGCCTAAATGAGATTTAAACATTAGATCCAATTTAAAAGTTTTTATTGCTAAATAACACAGTAATTCCACTTCTTTTTTGTTTTCTTGCAAATCGATTTATGACTTCTTCCGCATGGAGATATACATATACCATATTTCACGAGTATCCATCACGCTTTGACGTCTTCTGAGGTGAACAGCTGATCAGCCAGTAACATTTTTGTGTTGGTCTGCCACGTTGGCAATAATGAATAGGGTGTAAATCTAGTGAAACGTGTTTGTAGCGTTTTGTTTTTTGTTTGCAAATTAATTTTTATAAATAAAAGCTGTTAGCAAGTACAAAATGGAGCTGCAGCGTACAAAAAAACAAAACAAAATACGGCTTTGACTACCTAACGTTGACGGATCCGTCAAAATTATGTGTCCTGTGCCGATATGGGGAATTTTGAGATATTACTAGATAATCAGCTGACTTTCTACAGTGATGGATACTCGTGAAATATGATATTCATCTTTATAGACCATAAAAGCGGCTGTCCAGTTAGGCGATCTTCTGCCATAGAAGCTCGTAACCACGACTTTTGGCGTGGAAAAGGATCTCTTTTGCTGTCGGTACATTAACCGGTAATCTAGCAAGGATAATATAAGAACTTTTTGAAATTAGGATACATTTCGGATTCGCAATTTTCAATGAGAGTAGTAATCGACCCCAGAATATTCCATTCGAGCTCGATATTCATTCACAATTATTGAAGTTGGCGTATTATTGTCCAAGAGTTGCTCCTGAAGGTCAGTGTTGTCGAGACCAGGGTTGTGCACAGCCCTCCGAAAAAACTCTTCCAGCGAGCAGCAGGTACCATCTCCTTTCAATAAAATGAAACCGCTTTTCTCTGATTTTTGTCAAATTTGCTCACAGCATTAAGTCCTCGCGCGAAACAATGTTTACTATACTTCTGTCCGAATGTCTGATGTTCAATAACTACCTTAATCACAAAACACATGAGGCTCCATTTCCACGCCATCATCAATGAGCCTAAAATTTAATCAGGGTTGTTAGGTATGGTAGTTTTTCACCAAATCTGGTGATTTTTTATCCGTTTGTATCCATTACAATGAGCAAATGTTGATCTCACCACCATGTACTTTTGATTATTGTATAAAGGATATTGCCTTTTATGCAGTCCGCAACGCACGTCAATGAGTTGGGGGTTAAATGGAATTAAATACCCATCAAGGGCGTGTAAAGATAGAAGTTAAGGGTGCGGCAACTGCTTCAAAAACGCAACACGTTTACCTTGATACACGCATCAGTTCTATCCAAGAATTCTCTGGAGAATCCTGGAAATTATCATTTCAGCTTGTTTTATATTTATCATTTTTGCCCACCAGACAATGGCGACATTTTACGCAAACCCTGAAGAGGAGAACGAACTTTGGATTGAAAGAGCTGCTATAAAGGGGCTAGGATTCCGAATTTGGCATTACATCTTCTTTGCTTTTGCTGCTGTAACTGTGTTAAGTAATCAACCTTACCACGTGAGTACATAACTCAATGAACCAACACATTATTTATTCCAATAAATGCACACTATAAAATGATATGTGATTAGGTACATCTGGGATCTTTATTCAAGCGATGTAAAATACCTACTAGAACGTTGTGCAATAATATCAGTTGTAAAAGAAACCGTAGTGTTTCAAACAGATTGTTAGTATTACTACAGAATATTTCGTTTCAAGAAAGCGTTAGAAATCTCTTTTATTGAAAAGTGATTACACATATTGTATTTTGTATACCAGCATACATGAGTAAATCTGGATGCTAAAGAATTTCAACAAGAGAGCTTAAAATCTACGAGCAACGATTGATTGTGTTGGTTTTTGAGAGATGTACAATCTTACAGCAGAACATAACGCACTTTTTCGTAATTTCAGTAGTACTGATTTGCTGTTGTGTTAAAATAAGGGTACCACGAACCAAACAAGAAATTGAGGGAGACTACAAGAGGAAAAAATTGGCTGAAAAATTCCGACAAAGGCTGAAAATGATTCGGAATCAAGATATGGGCACTATCGATTTAGAAAGAGGTAGGAGGTAAATATAACTACTCTATATAACATTTCTATAAAAAATGTAGGCAATCATTTCCAAGCATTTTTCGTACTCATTTTATCTTAAAATTAGTATTTGTCGTTTGAGTTTCTCTACTGTGTAGGTAGTAGACAAATAATTAAGCCTAGTAAATTGTTTCGGTGTGCCTACTTCATTTAGAAATTAAAAAACACATTTTAAAGGAATACCTGGATGGAGAAATTATATAGAGGTCACGTGGTCACAGCAAATAAGACGACTTTGCGTCTTTATTTCTGTTTTAAACTATTTCGATTTAGTAGGTCCAAGTCCATTGATTGGTAGTGAAGTTCAATTTTTTTTCAGCACTTGAAATCATTCTTGACGATTGCAAAAACGACAATGGCGATATTCAGCACCCGTCTACACAAGTTGCAGATGAAAGCTCATGTGCAAAAGCTCAACCACAGCAGCCTTTGAAGAAAGTAGTAAACGCTGTTAAGGCTTCAATGAACGTGAAAGCCACCAACGCGTGAAAATAGTTCGCTGCGAGCAAGCCTGATAACCTGATACTCATATGTACTTTGTTTTTTTTTACCTTTATATTACACGTTTGCACTTGCGAATAAAATTTTACTCGAATATTTTAATTGCATACCTTTCCTTATTGATATTAAAATTGTCGATTAACGGATTAAATACTCCATATAGTTTTTGATGACCTTTGTAAAATTTTCGACAGGAGATCCGGAAAAACAAGACAACAATTGACATCAGTTATTACCACTATTTTTTATTGCATTTTTTTCCAAGTTATACATGAGACAAAGATGCTATTGACATTATTTGTTGGTTGTCTGGTACAGCTTCAGTCTTCCTCTGTTGCATTTTTTTTTTCATTTAACTATTTAGAATGAATACAGATTGAATCAGGATAAATAGCAACATATGTGTCGCCTCGTGGCACTTATATTGTGCTTGAACTTTTAGCTACAAATCACATACGCGGCACTTTTAGTTGCAATAAAAAAGATCGGTTTCAAGAGAATCGATTCAAATCTAAATGGAGATTACAAGTATCGAGCTTTCCAAAATCGGAATCGCAGCGATCGAGTGTCGCACATCCCTAGCTCAGATCCCTAGGATTTAGATAACCTCAAACAACAAAGATTTCTTTGCCACCTTTGGTGCGGCTATTTATTATTTAAACTATGCTGATAATCTTTGGCTAAATCTAAAATAATAATCTAATAAAAAATGTTGAAGAATAAAGGTGCCCTGGGCTTAGTTGTTGAGTATGGAAGCGACACTTCAGATGACGATGTCCCTGGCCCCAGAGTTTCGACAAAGAGAACTCACAAAAGTGATGATGAACTTTCTGATTCTGAAAGACATTACAACAAAAAGGATAAAATGTATTTAGTCAGCAATTTATTTTCACTATACCTATTATAAATTGTGTTTTAATTTAGGTTACCAGTGCCACAAGTGTTCAGAGAATTGTCTTCTGATCAGCATACTGATGATCCTGCACTACATGATGACAGGATAAGAAGTTTTGCACATGTCAGAGGAAACTGGGCTTCATATGCTTATATTCCATGCAAGTAATACATTTAATATCAATGAGTACAATTAGCTAACTCGAATCCAGTGCTGCAGTGGTCTTATGATGAACCGCAATAGCCTTCGAACAGCTTAGCCTGTTAGCTGTTAGATTTGACAGGTTGAATTGCTGAACTACCTTAAGTGACTTGAATGCAATAATTCTTATTCATATCACCATATATCAAGATCATATTCAGGGGGAGGCCTTGAGCCCCAAAGCCATAGCCACACAGTTATTCAGCCTTTTCATATATAAAACAGCAATAGTAATTTTCTTAATAAATCTGTATAGGATGTCCTGCTATAAATTGACACCTTCTTTTGGAATGACCTTTTAGACAAAAAGTTGTATAGAAAACTTGCAGGAGCTGCAGGGTCCAATATAAAGATTTTTAGGCTGTCATTTGCATATAGAGGTCTCGGAAAATATCTATCAAATAAAGTTATATTTTTTTTAATGGAACATCCTGTATATCATAGATGAAAATGTTGTTGCAATCTTTTTTGATCCTAAATAAACAGAGGGTACTATAAAAGCTTTGCAATACAGCATTATTTATTGACTTCATTCAAAGCAATTTCCACCACATTCAATACATGAGCCAAATCAGTCCTTACACCAGCTCTGCTAAATTTCACCTGGGATTGTGGCCCGCTTGTTGTCGTAAGCTCTCAGAAAGTCCTTGTCGCAAACAGTGCAAAGTCGCAGGAAGCAAGAACTGGACTATAAGGAGGGTGCTCAATTAAAAGACCCAAACTTTGTTTTGAGCCTTGGTCATCACATCGTAATAATAGAGCCCAGTCTTGTCACCTGTCATGATGCTGTTCTCATACTGAGATTGCCCTTTATCAAACATTTTCAGCATCTTTCGGTACCATAGAGAACAAAGTTTCCTCACATGTAAATGGTCATGCAGAATTAAATTAATTCTTGGTGCATGAAGGTCTAAGGCCCGTATCGTCAATCATCCCTACAATTGTAGGGCGCCTTTATGGCCTCCTTGATTGTCATAGTTTTCTATTATACTTCTCTGTGTCAGCGCTCTATTTTGAGGTTATGTCACAAACATCTATTTGCAGCAAATTGTGCTTGCTTTTGAGTTATATCATGTTTTATCAGCCTGAAATTTCCTACAATTTAAAAAGAAAACATATCTTTACAATAGGAGAGCGCTGACGCTGGCCCGGGACAAGTGTAATCTAGAAATTTTTGAAGGATAGAAAGCAGTATGGCAATCAAGGAGGCCATAAATGTGCCCTACAATTGTAGGGACGACTGGCGATACGGGCCTAAGGTGTCCTGTATCTGTTGGTATATCACGCTTCAGTATTCATCAAGTATTTTCCTCACAGCAGTAATTTTTTCCTCTCTTACTGACGTTGGCGGCCTTCCTTCACTCTCAGCATCCTCCAGAGTGAAATTGCCCCTTTGAAATTCTCTGTACCACCTGAATATAGTCGTACGATGAGGACATATTATTCTTTAATGCAAGCGTCGTTATACCATAAAACTGCCCTTATCTCACTACTTGACCGCGATGCCATAGTCCGCACTTTACACTGTCAATACGAATTAACAACTAAATCAACAGATGTGCTGCCGACGTCTACTATGCATTCGTGGACATGCCTCAACATGCAGTAACATGCAACCTCCTGCGTCTGTTTGTTAAGTCATATTACAAAACTAGTACCCTTTGTTTATGATTAGTTATGCTTAATTTCATTACTTCATTCAAAAACTTGAATCTCATGTGCATTTAATCATATATATGGCCCTATGGCAGATTGTTTAGGCAGATAGATGAATACTGGTTTGAACTTAGATACACATGAAACCATGATATGTAAATTTGTTCTGGACCAAACTAATGAAAATAAATATGACAAATCATGCACGTATATATTTGTTATCAGAAAAAAACATATATCATTTCACTAAAATTATACAGGCTGATCCATTTGAAAAACACAACTTTACTGTTCGCCCTTTTCCGAGATATAAAAAGATATTGCATGTAAAACTTTGACACACCAAGAAGTTAGTGGGCGGGTCAATTTCTAGTGGAACACTCTGAAGTTAAAAAACTCATGTGATCAATGATATTATCTAAAGTAAATAGCTATAATAGCTATTTGTTTCATACATTTTTATATCTGAGTAAATTATAAATGAAGAAATCATTTGAATTTGAGATTGACAAAAGCTTAATTTCAGTTGAAAATATTGATGGGGTAGTAGACTTGGTAGAATGTATAATCAATAAACTAGCTGGTAAAATACCCTTGAAACAAACTGATGACTTTCACATTAGTTTGTCAAAAACTGTGATATTGAAGTACCATTGGATACCAACATTTGTTGAAAGTATTAAATCCAGGATTGAATTGTCTAGAAAGTAAGTACCAGTTTATAATTGAAGATAAATATTGAGTACCCACATCAATAATAACTGTAAACCATATTATCATTTAAAAATGTTTCCAGATTTCTAGTTATTTTTGATGGGCTGAAAATCTACTGTAATGAAGAGAGAACAAGAACTTTTATAGGATTACAAATAGGAAGTGGATATGATTCTCTACTAAGAATAGTGGAAATTGTAGACAAATGCTTGGAAGAGTTTAGTTTAGCTACCTTCTATAAGGTAAATATTAGATTCTTCAATAAGAACCCTCCCTCATTGGAACGTCATGGCGACATCGCCAACATCCATACCAGAACTATCCTATTGAAACATACGATGGGTCAGAGAAACCTTCTTTATGAACGTAAATTGTATCAAAACGTAGAATATAAAGGTGTTTTTAATTTTTTAACATAGTCACCTTAAATGTTTAAGCATTTGTCAAGTCTTGACACCAACTTTATATTCCCTTCTCAAAGTATGCATGCCGCCAGACCACTAAACCAGTTTGCGACTCTTTCTTTCAACATGTCATCATTTTACAAGCGCTCTTTAAAAAGTTTTAGAAAAAGATGAAAGTCTGATGGTGCTAAGTTAGAACCAAAGAATAGATATATAAAGAGAAGACAGGCAATAAAATTAGAGACAGATAAAGAGATAACCCCAAAAACTAGTCAATTCCTACATATATATTTTGATGCTAAACAGGAATCTGGCCCATGATGTTCTGCATCAAAATACTAAGATGTGGCTAGTTTGTATCATATCATATCAGTACGCGATAATCTAACACAAAACTGTAGGAGTGTCTTCCCTACTATAATTCATATGGCTAGTATTTTTCAACGCAACTTGTCGTGTTGCGTCTGCGTTCTTGCCACAACGTGAGGCCGAGCGTTGTCATGAAGCAGAACGACGCCGCTAGAGAGCAGACCCAGCGGGCGGTTTTGAATAGCACGCATCAGCTTCAATAATGTTCCACATTACCTCCCTCTCAGCATGTATAGTCGATTCTACCGTGGCCACATTTTTCCTTGTTGAAGCTTCTTCCTTAAATTTTCATGGTTTCGTCGATGAGTTTGAGCGATGCCACCCATTGGATCGACGTCTATGCAACCCACGCCTCATCACCGACCACAATGTGAGTCAAGAACTCATCACCATCCTTGTGATAGCGATCCGAAATTGACAAAGAATGGGACTTATTCTTTGCTTTGTGTTTTTCTGTCAACATTTTTGTAACAAGTAACAGTAACAATGTTATAAACTAAAGATTTTGATATTTTTGATAATGTCTGATAAAGCTCGTAAATCGTGAAGCGTCTGTTTTTGCGAATTTCCTCATCAACTTTTTGTGTCAAGCTTTCATTCATGACAGGACATCCAGATCGTTCTTCATCATGAACATTTGTTCTTCCTGCATTAAAAAGCTCATATTTGCATCATTCATTACACCCTTCCGGTAAACTTCAACAAGATGCCGGTGAATTTCAGCAAGACGAACTTTTTTTGCGGTTAAGAACCGAATTACTGAGCGCACCTCGCGCAATCGGCTGGTTTACTGATTGACATGGTGACAATCATAGTAGTATTACCACAAACAACATCGGCAGAGACATGAAACGTAATGGTGGCGTAGTGAGAGGCTGGCCAATAATATCTGAGGTTGAACGAACGATGTTCTTACTATATAACAATTAATTAAAAATTAAATAAAATTTCAACATGTTTTCTGTTTTCCCATTGCAGAAAATCGTAGATGTTATTTGTCTAAATGTTCAGTATTTGCTTGAACAAAATAATTAACACGTTTGTTGACTTTTATCTTTTCCATATGTTTAATGTAACTGATGAAATGCTAATAATCTTTATATTCTGGGCAATACATTCGCAGCTGATGAGGAAAGTACGCTCATTCGGATTTCTTTCAAAAAGGTTTTCACGTCCAAGTTTGTCAATTTTTCTTTAAAATTTCGGTCGCCCGTGCTTTAAAACTTTTCTCCAAAGTTGATTGTTTTCGAGATATAAGCCATGCAATATCTGAAAAAGTGCGAAATAATCCATTTTCGATGCCGAAAATCGATATTAAAAAACAAAAATTTTAGTGTTGCCAATGTTCCTAAATATTCTCCAAATATCGATTAAAAAAAAACAAAAAATATTTCAGGAGGTATTGGTATTGAAAACCTTTGTTTTTTAATTGGTAACCAATCGTGTGCTCAGTAAATGCTCTGCATGAGTGCGAGAGAGATGCAACATGTAGGGGCGGCCACTGAGCGCGGCGAAGAACCATTTAGCGCTAGCTCTTATAACAAATAAAAATCAGAAGGTTTACAGTAACAATACCTCCTGAAGTGATTTGGATTTGATTAATGGATGTTTGAGAAATATTTATTTTATTTAAATATATCTCGAAAAGTATTAACAACTACAAATCAAAAGGTTTGCAATAACAATACCTCCCGAAATGATTTGGGATGTTGTTAAAGGTTGTTTGAGGAATATTATGGAACATTGGCAACATACAAATTTTCATTTGTTCATATTGTTGTTTGGGGTGGAAAATTTCGCATTTTTTTTAGATATTGTGTCGCCTGTATCTTTAAAACTATCAACTTTAGAGGCAAATTCTAAAGCACCTTCAAAATGTACAAAAAAACAGAACCTATGGAACAGACCTGTTTTTAGAATTAGTTTAAAAAAAAATTGGACCTGGTAACATCCAGATTCATCAAAAGGAGTCCTCTGGAGTATTGGCCGGATTATTGATATTTTCCACTACTAAGACCTATTTATTTAACTCTATTCCAGGATCCATCTTTTCATATGAGTATTGCTTGGTGTGTTGGTGACTTTGAAAATGAACTTAAATCTATACTCCCAGAATTGAACCAGAAGTTTTCTGAATTAACTGAAGCATATACTCAGGAATATTGGTATATCTTTGTTCAATCAATATATTTCAAAACTGGAAATAAACTTTTCCAATTTAATCTCACTTGAATATTTATACTAAATAAAGTTCTTCTCTGTAATTGCCAAATAGTATTTTTTTCTGAGGTGCAATCTCCTCCTCCAAATAACATTCAGAATTACGCAAAAAATATAGTCGCATCAGTGTCTCTGAGAATGCCTTAAGGCAATTGAAGAGCTGAGAGTGGTATCGACAATGGAGAGGCTTCGTAATGTTCAGAATCGCATAAATAATGACATACTAGCAAAATATAGATGAAATTTAATCAAACGGTGAAAAAATTATTGAAATCGGTCAATAAATGACACATAAATAAATACTTAAATTTGGCGCATTATAGCACGAAATCGTTGATGCCGTCAGTTCTGACGACACTTCACTAGTACCGAGCATGCCGACAGCCTTTGTGCGTTTAGTAATTAGTCTATAGACAATTCACGAGACACCTGTGCGCTGGGCCACGTGGTTTTTAGTTGATAACTATTCAGTACTGCGTAAGTTCGTACCATTATGGAAGCTGGATTTGTAAAAGGATTAAGTGACAATTTTCCCAAAATTAACATTTATGCAGTGATGGAATTTATTTCTTCAAATCCATCATATAAAGCGCGGAAATAAAAGGTGTGATACTTTGGAAGTAAGGATGTATGCCTACTGCTACATTATCACTACTAGCTGTAAAATGTGCTATACCCTACTGAGGTTTTAAACAAATTAGTGTTGATGCCTAATATGAGTACAGATTTGCGAATATGACGCGATATTTTCCAGGGCAGGTATAGATTCGTGTCGTGAAGAAGCTATTGGTTATATTCAGTTAAAACGTGAAGGTACTAAATGCATTGTAAAATGCAGAGTTACACCTGACTATAAAGTGAAAACTATGCCTTACCACTGTACATTGGCCTGTGAAGAAAGTGAGGAAAGCATTAAAACAGTTGTGCGTCATAATATTATTCTGCTAAGCTTGGTGGATTTAAACACACAATAACGTTTTTGATCTGGCTTTTGAAAAGACGCGAATAACCTGCAATTACTCCAGTAGAATGTTACTGGATGTAACCAGAGCTATCTAAAGTTGGCAATAGTATTTAGTTTATTAAAGAAAAATATTTCAATAACGAAAGTTCTTGAAAGTTAGACTTAGTAGAGGATCCTAACTTCTTCCTTTGATTAATTGCCTTAATGAATGTGAACGGAGAAAACTTAACAAGACACAAGTAATGGTTTACTTTACAGATACAAGCATATAAATGCAAGATTCACTTTTTTGTGTCATGATCACCTGCTACAGATACAGTATAATCTTCAAGCAGTGGATCTTCTAGTGCTTTCGATTCTTCGTAGGTTGAATCGCACTGAATGAATTCGAATGGTTGAGGTGAAGGGAACATCGTTCTTTAACAAGTCGTCTAAGCATCCCGCGCGACGCCTTTTCTATGCTCCGCATTCTCTTAAAGGCCGCACACACCTTTTTGGCAGTCGAACTTATGAGGGTTTACTCAGACTTTCAGCTTCAATCTTCCACCGACTAGTTTATATTTTATCAGATTTTCAGTATCATTACCAATCTGTAATAACAAAAAGACATTCGAAGTCGAAATTTGAAGTAACCAAATTTGATAAAGGTGTCAGAGTCAACCTACTTGTCGTCTTTTTAAGGGGGGTAAGTGACACTATAGTAGCTCACAGCTATTCTCGCTGAGTTGAAATTAGTTGATGAATATTTCCCTGCCAAATGCCGCGTGTACAGTGAAATGAGCTTGGAAATTATATAATAACTAATAATCATAAATTAATAAATAGTAAAGTGATATACTCCAAAGTGGTCTTCACAGACTTTTTGGTCCAATCAAATCACGCTTTATAAGCTTGCATCATTTCTTCCTGATATTTTCATAGAAAAAATGTTTATTAGGGGTTGTAACTGTTGCGCTCGTACATTTTGGAACGATACAGTATTTACAACAGCCTTTTGTTGTTATTTCGCTCATATCCGATCGTATATGCAGTCAACTAGTTAAACAAATTAGCCTACCACGTGTTCCGGTGTATGTGTTCCTATATATGTATTCAAGAAATTTAGTCGGCCCGGGCACACGAGTCAGCCACGGCCGCTGGATAGTGAAGTGTGACATCACGCGTCGCGTTCAGACGGAATAAAAATATTCTCGCGGGGTGCAACTTTGATAGGCTATAACTTTTTTGTTGAAAGAGATAAATTATTATTTTTTCTTAAAATTGCATTTGAGCTAATAACAAAAAATTGTAAACTTGTCCATTGATCGGAGTAGGGGGGGGGGTTGTCCATAATGTCGCCCCCCAAATCAGTTCATCGCCCTCCACCCACTTTGAGAAACACATGCTTTATAGTTAGCTTTAGCCTTTCTGTATGTAGGAATTATTTACCATTTGGAACTTCAAAAATTGGGTTTGTAGGAAATAAAACAACAAAATGTACCTATAATAATATATTTGTTTGAAAAAACAAAAAATATAAAGCACATATAAATAAACAAAAACATAGGTTATCAGTACACAAGCTCCATTCGGAGATATAAAACCATTATGGAATAAAGGTAAACAAAAAGGTAACATATTCATCACTATCAGTAACAATCTTAAAATAACTACTAATATACAGTTCTGTACACTAAAATCTAGCAGTAATAGAATATTGCACTTTATCTCAATATAACCCTTTTATCAGGCGTAAATTTCTCCTAATTTTAGTAAAATAACGTGAATTTTTATATTTGATTTTAATGATAGACTCTACATGGGCAGCAATAACAGATACCCATACAAAAAATCGAAAATTATTTCTACAAGGATTAAGTGTACCGTGGTTTTAAATAAGGTTAGAAAATGTTAGATAAATTTAATGAGTGAATAAATTTAAAGGATGCTGTCGATTATAAAGGATTCCAATAACTTAGTTTTCAACTTTTAAGAAATTGATTATTGTTGGAGTGGTATCAATTGTTGATATCAAAGCGGTCATGTGCCCACATAGAGTCACTGCACAAGGACAATTTTAGATACGACTTGTGATAGAATCTCAATATGCGATAAATCACAAGTTATTTGTTTTGATAATGCCTCATAACATCTCGCTTAAAGTATTGGTAATATGTATGTGTTCCAGGAATGTCTACAACGCGGGATCTAACTAAGGGCCATGCTTGTTTGAAGGTAAGAGGCAACTTGGAGGTGAACTTATTTTTTCGGAATGCCATTGTCTGTATTTTAACTAAGTAGACAAAGTTTCGATTAGTAGGTATCTCTAATCGGTATCGAGTGTGAAATGAGAACTTATCCTTAAGGCTACCAATTTGTATACAGTTGTGTGCGACCAAGCGTGAAGCTCCGCCTCTTAATTTATTGAAGCGTGAAGTTTTAGGAGTGGTTCTGTCTTAAGTAGGAATTTCCAAATGTTTGGAATTTCCGCACTGGCATTACTAAAAATCCCAGTATTATTCTCAATAAATGCTGTTTCGACAAATTTTCGTTTCCGCCAGTGCTGTGCCCTAAACAGACCTTCCCTTCTGACCACTTCAATTGGTGTTGAGTCCATACATATTCAGCAATACTGGATCTGGTTGTCTCAACCAGCCGGGTATGCTTTTGATGTTCCTAACAGATTGGACTTTGTTTTCCCCTATATACGATTTGGCACACTCACACGGGACTTGATATACGCGTCCCTTTTTCAGGTCAGATCCTTCCGGTTTCGTCTTAGTGCGGTAGCTCCTCAGGGTGTTGCTGGACTCACAGGCGTTTTAATATTATAGAAACTTGCTATTTTTCTAATTTTCTCTGAGAATCCTTTAACACAAGGTATGGTTAAGAAACTGGCAGTTTGATCAGTTTGGTAACCCCTATGACTGTTTCGTTACTCTTTTAGATTATTAAAAGTTTTATCAATCAATTTTTCTGGGTATCCATTATGGCGCAAATCATTTCTAATACTTTTTAGTTCTGATTTCAAGTCGTCTGGGTTATTACAGATGTCTAGTGCATGGTAGTAAAGTAATAAGCTGGAAGGCTTAAAATCAGAACTAAACAGTATTATAAATGATTTTCGCCAGAATGGTTACCCAGAAAAATTGATTGACAAAACTTTTTATAATCTGAAAGAGAAACGTAACAGGCATAGGGATTCTCAAACTGATCAACCTGAAAGTTTCTTAACCATACCTTATGTTAAAGGATTCTCAGAGAAAATTAGAAAAATAGCAAGTTCCTATAATATTAAAGCGGCCTTCTAGTCCAGCAACACCCTGAGGAGATACCTGACTAAGACGAAACCGGAAGTATCTGACCTGAAAAAGGGATGCGTATATCAAGTCCCATGTGAGCGTGGCAAATCGTATATAGGAGAAACCGAAAGAACGCTACCTGTTTGGGTTGACGAAGATCAAAAGCATACACGACTGGGTGGGATCACCAGATCGGGTATCGCTGAACATGTATGGACTAATCAACACCAAATGAAGAGGTCAGAAGCCAAGGATCTGTTAAGGGAAAAGCACTGGCGGAAACGAAAATTTGACGAAACAGCATTTATTGAGAATAATACCGGAATTTTTAGTAATGCTAGTGTGGAAATCCCAAACATTTGGAAATCTCTACTCAAGACAGAACCACTTCTAAAACCTCAGTGTTCAAAGAATTAAGAGGCGGAGCATCACGCTTGGTCGCACACAACTGTATATAAATAGGTAACCTTTAGGATAAGTTCTCATTTCACACTTGATAACGATTAGAGATACTTCCTAATCAAAACGTTGTGTACTTAGTTAAAATACAGACAATGGGAGTCCGAAAAAATAAGTTCAAGGCCCATGCTGTTGTGTGCGTTAATACCACGCCGTTCCAAGAGATGGCGCATCACTAGCGCATTCAAACTGCGCGCTAAGCTAAAAATTTAACGCAACACCAAGGATCACGTTTATCTTAAGTGCTGTTCTAAACTGACGTATAGCTCACGGCGCAAGGTGTAAATGAACTAGTGTTGCTCCTTCTCTTAGCACAGTCCTGTCATACTTGGGTAGTATTATACTAATACTCGGTATTTTGAATCCTATTTAGATTACATTTGGCTGGTAATACATTTGTTTGGTATTTGGTATTCGACTGAATACTTTTTTGGTCAGTACTCGGTATCCTTGATTCTGAATACTGCTTCTGAATACCAATATTAGAATACCACATTGTATTCAAATCCCAGTATTCGAATCCTGTTTTCGAACACTGGTAAGCTATTCTTATGAGTAAGTATTGCATGACGGTTTCCGCAACTTAGCTTAGCTTGTGCTAAAACAAGCCCGCGGTGGTTGTGGATTTGCACAAACAAAATAGCTTCGCAAAGTTAGTTTGTTTGCGAGGACGGTGTTGCTTCTAAATTCGCGATGCCGACAGGTCGACTAAGGAACGAGATTAGACTGCGCATACACTTGTGTTTGTGCAGTATTACTTTTCTATTTTATAATAAATTTTAATACGCGTTACAATTTGTGTGATACCAGATAAAGTAGAATACTTTTTTCTCTATGTTCGAATATTGAGTATTCGAATACTATTTAAAATACAGTATTCAGCACCTACATTCGAATACCGGATTTCAGTATTCGACCCAAGTCTGCTCTCTAATAGGATATTATCGAATTTGAGGAATTGTCCCGTTTATATCTATAATTCTTAGGGTGATTTAAAATATTATTGATCCTTAAAATGTGGTAAGATTTATGTTTTAAGTACTTGCTTAACCCTGAATGTTAGCCTCTGAGAAGATCAAGACACAATGATAATCTTATAAATATAAAAACTCACGCGCTTGGAGGTGGGCTGTTCGAACAAATAATCAAGATTTTATATTTTGATTCATTTATTAAATGTATTTCTGAAAAATATGTTATTGAACATCATTCAATAGCTTGTTGTTGCACCATATATCAATGTTTTAAAATAACGGTAAACACATCTAACGTACCTGTAAAGAGTTGATAGAAATACAAGTGTAAAAAATCTTACCCACCTCCAGTCCTACTCAAAATACCTTACAAATTTTAGCACAACAGCCTAGTAAACGGTAATCATAGATTAAAACGTCCATTGTAGTATTTTTCCAGTATAATTGTATGCATCTTGCAACTTTGTACACTATTCTTTATCATCTGAACTATCAAATAAACTTACGATTTATGAAAACCATGGCTAGAAAACAGCAGCAAATGTAAAGATCATTTTTTGAGAAAAACTTGTAGAAAGCTATTCTGCCTAATTATTTTCATGAATTTGAAGTCGCGTTAATGCCAATGACGATAAAAAGATATAAATGAAATATTTTTTCTAGACTATGCTTTCAGAAATCCAAGTTTAACTGCTAACTACATTACATTTTTTCACTGTCAATGGTCTGTCCTCCGTTATTTCTAGCCACGAAACAATAACCAACGAAGTCGAATAACCGTGTAAATGAAAAACACAGCGTCATTACTATCACCTTAAATCGTAGCACACCTTCAGACTTTGACACAAACTCATGAAGTCCGTAACCGCTTAGAAACAGTCAAAGTTGAAGGTACCGGGATCTCAGCTTCCTTGATTCCCGTACTGAATCTGCTGATGAGAGGAGGTAGTAGTGACATAATCAATACCAAACTGATCCGGCATTTGTGATTGGCTGTCCTGGCTAATTTCCATGCTGTCTTCGTACTTGATGCCTCGCTTGAAGCGTCCGTACAGCGAGGAATATGGCAGATTGTAGTGGATTGCCGCTTGGTTGATCGACATGTGGCCTAGTCTGAAATAAACATGTCACGTTTCAACATAGGTCGATATGCCATGACATGCATCCTTATCGCGTAAAAAATTTGATGCTAAACGAAAATTTCTACTACGTATCAGCAATAAATTCAACTCGATTACCAACTAAGCAGGGTGGCAGCATATATAAAGCTTAGGCCACACAGGAGGTGCTTAGATGCTAGAATATACCGGGTGTAATAAAAGTAACGGAGCGGCTCTATTTTTTCAGGAAAGATATTTTTGCAAAAACCTTAAACAATGACTCTAATGGCGACCTCAGACCTTTTAGAAACCGGCAACTGAAAGATCCGAAATTTTAAAATCCGAATACGTATGTGTTAAAATCTAAGATCTAGGTCACCTCTAAAGGCCAAATGTGTGTGGCTAGAAAAAATTTAGAGGCATTATTGCTTATGTGACCTTGAGCCTCACCTTCCAGGTCATAATAATACATGAGAAGGTATTAGAAAGTGAAATTGTCCAATATCGGTGTGGTTCCAGGTTGAATCCAAGGCCACCATTGAAAGCCTAATTAAAAGTCGCTAAAGACCTGTCCTTAATATGTTTTTGCATCAAGTCTATATTAGAAGAACTACAGTGGTTGGATGTAAAAAAATATAAATGTTATAGTTCCCATTTTTTATAATCAAATTAATGCATTTATTACCACCACATTTAGAAAACAAAATTAAGTAATCATTATCATAACTACGAAACTAGAGGAAGTATAGCTTTTTATCTGCAATAATGTAATAGAAGCATCTAGCAAATCTGTATTTCAAAATATTAATGTTAAAAAATGTTTATGGAGGAATTAAAAAAATCACTCTATGAATACTCAAAATGAATAGTGATGTAATTTCAATAAATAAGAATGTAAAATTACAATTTGCAATTCGGTCAAGGATAATTCTGCATGTACCGAGGCGGTGTGTGTGAACTGACATAAAATATTTAGTAAATGATACATACAGAGCTGTTCAGTTCTTTCCACGGTTTTTTGGTGGTTACGCCGAAAACATGCGAAATAAACAACCATGTCAAATAATGGGTGATTTTTTTACTAGTATCTTTTTGGGAACACTGTTTTTGACAGATGACGCGTGAATCGTGTCTTGTGTCATTGTCAAACTTGTTCAGTTTGGTCTATAATTTAACCATGAATCGACTTACGAACGAACAACGCTTGCAAATTATTGAATTTCATCAAAATTCATGCTCGGTGAAGAGAGTGCATCGAGCTCGGCTTCCAATTTATGGGCAATTTGGTCAGCCTACTGAGGGAGCTATTCGGAAGCTTGTGACTAAATTTCGAACCCAGTTTACATTATTGGACATTAAACCACCAACACGCAGACGTAGAGTGAGGACTGAAGAAAATATTGCGGCTGTATCCGCCAGTGTTGACCGTGAAATGTCGATTCGCCGTCGTTCGCAGCAATTGGACCTCTGTTACTCCACTACGTGGAAAATTTTGCGACAGGAGTTGAGTGTAAAACCTTATAAGATACAGCTGGTGCAAGAATTGAAGCCACACGACCTCGCACAACGTTTCCCATTTGTGAATGGGCGCTGGCAAAGTTGGAGGAAGATCCACATTTTTATCGAAAAATTGGATTTAGCGACGAAGCTCATTTCTGGTTGAATGGGTACGTTAACAAGCAAAATTGCCGCATCCGGAGTGAAGACCAGCCAGAAGCATTGCAAGAGCTACCAATGCATCCCGAAAAAATCACTGTTTGGTGTGGATTATGGGCTGGTGGCATCATCGGGCCGTACTTCTTCAAAGACGACAATGGCCGAAACGTAACTGTGAATGGCGAGCGCTACCGTGCGATGATAACAAACTTTTTTTGCCCAAAATGGAAGAGCTGGACTTGACTGACATGTGGTTTCAACAAGACGGTGCCACATGCCACACTGCACACGAAACAATGGCCCTATTGAGAGGCGAGTTCGGTGAACAGTTTATCTCACGTTTGGGGCCCGTCAATTGGCCGCCTAGATCGTGTGATTTAACGCCGTTGGACTATTTCTTGTGGGGCCATGTTAAGGCTAATGTCTACATGGATAAACCAGCAACGATTGACGCACTGGAAGCCAATATTGAAGCATTTATTCGTGAGATACCGGCTGATATGTTGGAGAAAGTGTGCCAAAATTGGACCTTGCGCATGGGTCATCTAAAGCGCAGCCGCGGCCAACATTTACATGAAATAATCTTTAAACATTAAATTATATCGACCGTTCTATCGACTCAAATAAAGATCTAATCGTTTTTTCAAATTTTTGGTGTTTTTTTTTAAACAAATCCTATACCTCTTAAAAAATCACCCGTTACAATATCGAACGATTGGTCAATTTGAGGTAAGAAAAAAAAATAATTTGAATATGAAATCTAATTCATTTGGCTCGCCTGTCTTTGGTTTATCTATGTGAACCTCCACACCGCGCTTCAATTGATTCCATGCATGTATCTCGATAAAGCAACGTGTCTGTTTTTTTTATTGTCAATCCTAAACATTCGATTGACTATAATTAGAACGTTAGACGAGGTAACTGGATGGAGTAACGATGGTACCTGTTTCTAAAAGGAATCTACTGTGAAATTCACAGGCAATAATTTAATACCTTATTTCACCGCCTAGAATACTATATGACCTCTTGATTTGGGGTCATAAAGTTGCAATTGGTGAAACGCAATACGAAATTTGCACTTAAAAGCAAATTTTTTACGTAATAAAGGCGCCAACTTCTTGAACCATAAGTGTCTTTTAGGAAAGTCCAATAATATAAGAAATGCATGTATTTACTGAAGAACAGGCTCTATTATCAGAGACATCATCATGTTACCATTAAAAGGTCTGAAAATATGTTGGCTCAGTAAAAAAACAAAGGCACTTGTTGGGTATTTTCTAAAATTTATATTACGGACTATCAATATTTTGCCTGCTAAAGATATATCCTGGGTAGTTTTCTATGAACAAGAAGTGGTAAAATTTGTAATCCAAGCTTCGGAAGTAAAATTTTGCTCTAAAGCTGTGACATTAGCTTTTTCAACCTCTATCCTTATAACGTGACTACTTCTGCTATTAAAGTCATCCATTCATCAGATGTGAGAAAAATAATCTTTATTCTCTGACGTTGACAGTATCCGGAATAAAAATGGAAAAGTATCGGCATATTCGGAAAAAACGGAGGATTCAAATGAGCCATGTGTCGGCAGTACGATTTTTGAAAAACGGACATTGATAATCTATTTCAACTATTAAATAATAAAGTTGTGTCTAGGTGGGGAATACAACATTCGATAACAGTCGATTTATATCGTCTGAGCGGAAATACCCCCACCCCTTCCTCTATCAGAGTTTGTATGTCAAAAAAGGTATAGATTTCCTCACCTGACAGCTTCCAGAGCTTCTCCCATAGCAACTTCCGACCAAGGCGTTGGATTGGACCTGGACAATTCAATCCCTTCCCTCTTACACCTTCCATAGAGTGTGCCTGTAGGAATGCCGAATTCAGTCGATGCTTTTTGTACTGACGTCTGGCCGGTTCTGATGGACTCGAGAGCCTTTTCTAGGTCTTCGGGAGTCCACGTGGTAGGGGCAGCATTGAAGGGAGCCGCTAGGCGGATACCCTCTCTTCGTGCTATTTTGTACAGGGTGCTACTGGGAATTCCTGAAAGAAGATACAAATTAATAATACTGTTAAAGGATAGGCCAGCTAATAAGTAAAAAATATACAATATCAGTTCACGTCAGGAAGTCTTTAACTGAATATAATAGGTAAACTTGGAAAGTACCGTTAGAATTTTGCAAGTCCGGTGGCGGCGGTGCTGGGGGCAAAGATCTAGAGAACAAAAAGCGTTCAAACTTCGTTTTTGACGTTCCAGACGCTCTTGATCATTTTCAGAAAAATTTTTGAGGGGCTGAAAATTGGAGGTTGTTGGGGGTAGGAGAGGAAATATCTCAATTTTCTGACTGTTGTACATTTTTACATTAACAGCAGCGGTAATTCTAAGCACCTATTTAGGCAGCAGCGGTGGCCGCAGTAGTAGACTCTTCGGTCTCCTGATCAGTCGCCGTGCGCTGTGCGGGTTCGAATCCCGTCCCAGGAGAAATTCTTCTCTTGCTATGGATGTTGTGATTGTCTCTGACTGTCGAACGTGGAGGTACCACCCGGCGGATCTCGTAGGCGGGGCCAGAATGTGTGCATGTTGCATGCACACGTGTTCCTTCGCCAGAGTCCGTGTGGCGTTCCCCCTTTCCCCTGTATCCCTCTATAGCCCCACGGTACCCCATGGGTGTTTAGGCCTTAGGCCTTTGTGGTAGTTGGAGTATAAAAAAACACATCATATATTTCCCCGTATATCTGCCCTTAAAACTACACAAGTATCTCTCTCTCTCTCTGCCACGCTGCCGAATGGACTCATCTAGCGGTGAGGTATGAGGAGGGGCGACGTTACCAGATGGACGGTGTTCTGTCGGTAGGACAGGGACAAGATGTCTATGGACTAATTGTATGGCCCTGTTTGACCGTCTTGATTCGTTTAATTTCCATGTTTCACATATTCGTAGCTAACTTTTTCGTGCTGAACGTAATCATTTAAGAACTGATGACAGTATTGCGTGGGTAGTGTAAAGTCAAATTGAGTGTTTCTCTACATTATTTCAGTGAATTGAAATATCAAGGCATGCCCAGTTTAATATTTGCATAGATGAAACTGTGTAAATATGTTGACGTCATTATTATATCTTGATTTTGACGCTTAACAAAGGTACTATAAAGGGAGGTAATGCGTGTTGTTTCCAGTCCAGGGGGCAAGGTTACTGATACGATGTTATCTACAAATTGAACTGATCTGGTCCACTGTAAATTACTTTTGCTAAGGCTGCTCATTTGTAAAAATAAGGTTGAAGGTGCCCATTATACTTCAGATCTTAAAAATTGAATGCTATTTAAAGCTTATAGACGAAATCAACGCAAAAAATATATTTAATGAAAAATGCCTTACCATATGCTTTGCTAGCTTTGTTTGCCGATATTGTGCCTGTCCTTAAAGCTTCTAAAGCACTGTTCAGGTTTTCTTCCGTCCATGATTTCGTAGGTCCTTCCTTTTTAGGTGTATCTATTCCTAACCTATGGGCTCTTTGCCATAGCGTCGTAGATGGGATACCGTATGTAGCTGATGCCTAAAAGATAATAAAAAATTACTCAGAGATACGAGGTTGTCCCGTGCCTTTGTTAAACAGATATCTTTGAAAATCTTTAGTTACGCCTCGAACACGTGTTGGTTGCATCTTGACTAATTATTTGTTAATTTTGAATTCGTAAACTAGACAAAAGAAATTTAGAAAGAATTCACTGACCAGGCATTCTTGCTGCATTCAATTCGATAACACAGAATTCTCGCTATAAACTGACCCTCCTTCTAACCTTTTTGTATGATCGTTTGGAAAACATGTTTTATACAAAAGTTTTATACACTAATATACACCTACGTGAAATATCTTTTTCTCAGAAAAGTGCTATCGAATAAGGTTGTATTTTTTCAAATGGAACACCCTGTATAAGTTTAGCGAAAATGATATTTGATTTGATTTTTTCTTATTCCAAATATGTAGAATTCATCATACTTATTTTCAGTATGTACAAGGTGATTCAATGAAACGGTACGATTTCAAATACACAAAAAAACTGAAAAAACATCTTTTTATTAAATTTAATAAAAAAAGTATACTACACAGATGGAAATTAATGTGTAAGTGAAGAAATGTTCAGTTTTTGAAGATGATATTGGAAAGGTAGCCTCCATTTTGTCGGACACATTCTTGCAGTCGTGGTACAAAGCTGTTTACGACATTGAGTAACATTTCTTGAGGTATTGCTTCCACTTCTTCGTGTATCCGTTCTTTCAAAGCCTCGATAGTTCTTGGGGGGTGACTTTGAAACACTTTCGACTCAAGATACCCGCAAATAAAGTTGTCGCATAGGGAGAGGTCCGGACTACGAGGTGGCCAGGGAATATCATCGTTTTCACTCATAAGACGACCAGGGAACGATCTTCTTAGTAAATCCATTGACACTCGTGATGTGTGACATGTTGCGCCATCCTGTTGAAAGGTCGTGTGTTCATTTCTGTAATTCTCGATTTCCGGAAGAAAATAAAAACGAAACGCTCGTTGAACACGCACAAAACTTCAACCATTTTTGTGATAAGCTTTCACAGCACATGCGCGTTGTTCACCCGACCACTTCTCCATGATAACTAAACTAAACTAGATTCACAACGTTTACGTCGCAAGCTCGCGGTTCCTCTATTTTACCGCCAGAAGCGTTGCCAAATCGTGCCGCTTCACTTAATCACCTTGTAGTATGGTAAAAAATTTGATTTTTTTCACTAAAAATATATAGGGTGTTCCACTTGAAAAATACAACTACATTTTGATGTTATGAAATGCCCTGTATATAAAAAAGACCCTACAACATTTGTATGTAACTTTTTTTTAAATGGCATGCAAGAAAATTAAGAGACGGGTCAATTTATAGCGGTACATATTGCATTCTTCCAAATTCTTTTAGCCTACTTCTGGTATACTGAATCTAGCAAGAATTTCTAAGGACATAATGTGTGTTCCGGCTATATAATCTTGGATGAATCTTGAATCTTACCTTAGTAAGGCTCATATTGTGGTTTCTTAGTGCGTCCAAGGCCATTTCCATATCCTCTTGCGTCCACGTTTTTGGCCCACCTCCATGTGACCTAGCAACATGCTGCATATTTTCTGAATGTCCGTTGTTTTTCAAACCAGGTACTTCTTCGCCGTTTGCTGAAACTCCTGCCATCATATCCCCGAAGTCCTGTTGCACCAACATGCCCTGGTGCAAACCCCTCTCGATGTCGTCGTGGCTGTCCATCGAATGATCAGGGCCGGACATATGGGATTCCATGTCCAGCAGGCTGTCCTGGTCATAAGACCGCAAGGTTTCGAATTTGATGTCAGCTTCTTTTTTTATTTCCAACGTATACCTGAACAAAACAAGTAGAATAAAACTTGATTTCCGTTAATACAAGTACAAATGACTAATACAGTGAAACCCATATAACTGGGATTTCATGGGACTGAGTCCGATTTATAGACCTGCGTTGAGGCTTCCTTGGACGCAGATATGAGATATCTCCTTTGAAACGGTGAAACAAAAACAATGAGGATCGTTCAAGGGAGGATTTGAATGCAACTCAACATGGTAGCAGAAATAATATCTTCAATGTTGGGATGTTCTCGCACGCCACTTCTTACCCAAGGATTGAGTATTTTATTAAGAATACTTCACTCTGAAGCAGAATCGAGTTGGAGCATATGCCCCCAATGGGGGCCCATGGTAGGCTGATCAGTGTTGTCATCACAAGCTATCATAGATTTTTCTTTGCTGACCGTAGATAGCTATTTAGTATTTTGATGATAAACTTGGGACGATTTGTCCTATTTGTGCTAAATATCGATACACAATACAAAATAATGATGTGTTTGCTTCCTCGAATTACAGTGCACTACTATTCGTCATTTGTTTGGGCGATCCGTAGGACCTTTGCCCATTAGTCACTGTCTAATGTACGTCAGTTCGAATCTGTCAGTCACGGTTGCTCAGAAACCAAACAATGTAGGAAAAAGAGAAAGGGGAAGAGAAGAAAAAAGGAGAAGAGCAAAGAAAAACAGAAGTATCGGTTTAAGAGGAAACATCTAGGCTCTTTGACTTGATTGACGGATTAATTTTGAGATTCAACTATTACAATATTTCACAAAAAAAACATATTTTATACCCAAATTTTATATTATTATATATTATAATGTGATTTAAAAAACAATTTAGCGAGGAGAAGATGCATATGATCGAGATACTTTGATACTAGGGATTATTGAAAATGAAAACAGACAGAGCAGTTAGGTGAAACTGGTTGCCTATAATCAATTTTTGACTATCTGTGATTGCACTGTACTTCGAGGAAGCAAACATTATTGTTTTGTATTGTTTATTGATACATTTAGCACAAATAAACAAATCGTCCTAATTTTATCACCAAATTGCTAAATAGATACAGTCAACAAAGAAAAATTTTTCTGGCACCGATGACAGATTGTGATGGCCACTGTTACAGCCTAGTGGACGGAAGGTCTACTGTAAATTTGATGACATTTGATCACTGATAGAGACTTTTCATTTATAAGTTTAGCGTCAAAAAACGTATGGCCCTTAACTTCAGCTTAGATTATCAAAAATTTGACGTTTCATATCTTTTCTACCAGTTTGCAGAATAAAAAAAAGTTGGATCACTGTCGGTGAATAATCTCATGCCCAAAAACTCTCTCCCAGTCAATCGTTAATAGTTTTAGACGATTTGATACTTTGGAATGTTACAGGCAGGATTATTACGTAAAAAACCTATATAACGTTAAAAAACCGACAAAATGTCTACTTGCCGACTACGTATATATAGTTCCTAATATGCAAATATTTCATTACGCGTTTGCTCGCTATGAGAGTCACCAAAAGCGTCATCTATGGAGGAATGAGAACAACACGACACGCTCAAGTCAGTTCCTTAGCATGCTTTGTTGGTTGCAGAATGCTAAGATAGTATGCAGAGTCTATCTCTGAGAAAATGTGCAGAAAGAAAATTGGTTGAGTAGCAGACTAGCAAGATCACATCTGGATGATTGTGTGTATTGGCCGCCATGTGAATAAAACCAGTGATATTGAAGTATATCTACGAGTATTAGCTGTACCAGTCGGCTTACTTGTGTTGCCCTTTGTGAAGAAAGGTTATGTTCAAAGTTATAAATTACGATTTTCCCCGTTTTTGCGTTTTAAAAAATTTTGAGACACATTACGGGAAATCACCACCGTGTCCGCTTTGTATGTAATTAAAACACATCACAAAAAAATAGGAATGACGTATAACACGCAAAACATTTACACAGTGCCTCACATCTAGGCGCTGATTTATATTTTCTATTTGACATCGCAAAATAAATCTCTATGAAATTTAAATGACTGGAAATTAAAAATAATGTAAAATGTAATAACCCTTTCACGTTTCATAAATATTAGCCTACTTTCTTAGCTGTTAGTTGTGATAGACTTCATCAACCAGGGATTTTCTTTTATTTATCCTTCTCATTTTTAAAATTCCGCAAATTTGCTAATGTGTTTCCAGAATAAAGAATACAACTTACAGCTCAAACCTCCAATTATGTCATCTCTGAAGCAGATGTGATGTAACACATCAGAGCCAAACATTGATAGCTGAAGCGTCATGATATTTAGGCAACATATACAACTACAGAACGAGTGCACATCAAATGAAGAACAGCTAGTTCTAAGTAAAAATGTTGTAGAAGATCCTACATGTCGAAAAACCTATATAATTAAAAAACCGACATAATGTTACTTTTCAAGATACGTAATACCCCTGCCGTGAGTTTCTCATTATTCCATAAAAATGTTTTAGCTCTAAACTTACTTGGTGGAATCTGAGATATCCGTCCGATGAATGGGAGCTGCAAGCAAAGTCCTGGTGGGTGAATGCTCGGACATATCCACGTGTCCCACGGGAATGGCGGATGGCGCAGGCGGCTCCGGCGGAAAGTCCTCCGTGTCCACGCCGAACTGGGAGAAGATCGTCTGTAGTTGCCGGAATCAAACGAATGTGCGGGTTAGTGCATGTGGTTTATGGGTTAATATGATGCGTGCTATAGTGCTGGTGCAATCTTTATACAGGGGGTTATAAAACTGTATTGTGTCTTTTCACAGCGTTTACTCTTGTAAAAATAAACAAAGTTTTCTGGTTCAATATACATCTTCTCTATTCTAGTCTAGTAGGGTCCCATCAAATGTTAATTTTTGAGGGAAACCTGTTCAATCAAACAGTTCTGGAAAATTTTCCGTAATGAATTGTTTAATTACTGTAACTAGCTAAATTATTCTGTTTAAACTGAATTTTATGGAAGCAGTTTAATTGAAAATAAGATACTTTTAAACTGATCTGCTTGAAAAAGCAAACCATGCACTTGTTTTATTAAACTGTTGTTAGCTTAGGTAATTTAGTTTACGCAGAAAAGGTACATTTAAAACAGTTTAACATTTAATAAAAACAGCTAAACTGTTTATTTGAATCACGGACTCAGAAGGAATCGGCCCTTCATTCGTGAATGATCAGGAGTATACGATGCGCTTCGAACTCTCAGTTTCAATTGTGATTCTTGCGTGGAGCTTCATATTCGAATGTTGCTGTTGTTAGTGTATTAGCTGTGAGAATCAATTGCAGTGATCAAGTGAAATGCTCGAGCAAGTTTAGTGGCCCATAACCATTATTTGAATATTTAAAGTTTCAAATAAAACACTGTATACAGGCGAGTCACTGCAGACGTGACGGAAGGGGTAGAACTTTCAAAGCTGTTTGTTTATAATTCGAATTGGATAAAATACGAAAATGACATTCCTACACCAATAACGGACTTAACGATTTGATTCAGATCGTTTTTCTAGGCGTTTCTATCCCACGACACCTAAGTTTGCTCATCTTGTAAAGCGCATGGAAACCTGCAGTAATTTTTCTCAGAGGAGCTGATTATCGGAAAGATTGACTTAATAATGTTAGTGGTTATCTGAGTGTTAAAATTACAAAACAAATAGTAACAACACATAAATTTTATTATTTAATGGATCACACAGAAACAACAACAAATATAGTGTAAGATGAAAAAGGTCAACATGTTCTTTTATTTATAAATATCCATATCACAATTTTACCAGCACCACGCACCCAGCACAACAGTATGCATCCACTATCTAATTTTAAGGGTAAAAAAGCAGCATTCCACCAGCCCATCTTCTGCACCATGGTACTGAAATAATATAATACACATTTTAGTCATAATTCTTTTTTAATATGAAGGAAAAAATGTTTTTAAACTGCCAAATAATAATTCACATCAGGCAGTAAAAGAATAGCCTAGAAGCAGCCACTAGGTTAAGTGTGGTATTAAAACGTACCATGATTTGGATTGCATCACTGGATTGTTTATATACCACTTTATGTGCATAGTAATGCCCCACATTCGAACTGAGGAGACATATACCATGTGACCTAAAAGCTACTCCTAGGCTAGAATAAAAGTTAACTTGTATGATATGAACTATACAACCAAAACACCAGTGATTAAAATAACATGAGAAGCTCCACACAATATTGATATAATATGAAATTTTGTGAGACATTTCTAATTGAAGAAAGCATATAATCATCTTCCAACATAGTGGATGGAAAAAGGCATATAAATTTTGTTTTTGTGGGTAAGCTTATTAAAATTAGAATGATTCTATCTGGCACCAGACAATGAGTGTATGAACTCTTACTTTTTTTCAGATATATGTATCACTTGCCAAGAAAATAATAAGCCTAATAATAAGTATGCAATCCAGTGAGCTTAAATTTGTAGCAATCTCTTATAAAATTGTGATTTTTTGATAATGACTTAATGAGTCTGTAATATCAATGGTATTAGTACTACCTCTCAATTAGAAAACATTTTTGATTGATGAATCATGCATTTTTGTGTATGAATTATAATTTCCTTAGAAGTCAGACTATTAAAAAAATGGTAGGAGACCAGTTTCCTGATGCATAAAATGTTACGACTAATGAAAAGTAATATAAATATACTTACAAAATATAATTTGGGTTACTGAATGGACTTGTTAGCAGGTAACATCCAGCAAAGTATCCAAGTTCAGTACATTAAATATAACTACTCAATAAGTATCCAAGAACTCCCATGAACAAAGCAAATACTATATACATTTTAGGACTGTGACTCTGAACTGTCGGCTCATATTTGTTAGTGGCAAATTGCATCCCAGCTGTCTGATGCTTCAATTTCAGTATGTCTTCTTTTAATTGGAAATTTTCCTGATGTAATCTACTACTTTCTTCTCGAAGTTTATTAATTTCCTCAGTGATATTCAAAGAGTTTGTGCTACCGACTGCAGTTTCTTGATCTGTTGTTTCGAAAACGCATTTTATTTTAGTATCCATCAGCTGCTCAGGCTGTACATCTTTCCATAGGACGTCAACCTCTTTATCGGGAGCATACATGGATTGGACCATGAATTTGTGCTTATTCTTGTCAGTCGGGTCATAGGCATTCGGTTGCAATGATATCAGTACTTCGTTGGTTGCGTTAGGTTCTAGTAGCCCTGAATTAGGGCGAACACAGTATTTTTTCGGAGCTGTCGTCTTGATTTTGTAGGCCACCCGTTTTTCCGTAGGGTTTGTCAACTTCAACGTTCTCGTCACCTCCTTATCGTACGGTCCTTTGAATTTCAGCTCGTTCAACGGAGTAATTTGTAGCACTTGCTTGGACATGGTTATAAATAGATGCGGTATGAATGTTATAAACGTGAATGTTGTAATTTTGTGTGATAATTTTCTATATTATTATCATCACTGCGAATGACACTGAACCTTGACGGCGATGACATAACTCGGCAGTGCATCCTAACCTTGCCGAAAACGCGAAAAATACTAAAGTCACCAAATCTGCCGGCGCCGGCGCTGCGTTGCCGCGACGCTATCCGGAATACGGGGGGCGATCAGAAAGTATTATCAATCGATATTTCCCATCGTGGAGAAATTACACCAATCACGTAGTTTGTTGTCGTTGTATAGTTTATGCAATTCGATAAATGAGGTTTTGCGTGTGATTATTTCTCTTCCACAAAACTACTCGCAATCAGTCGTGGGCAAGTAGAAAATGGAACAACCAAAAATATGAATGTTTTTCAAATAATTGAGGAATAAAAAATGAAACATACAGATTGTCATTATATATGGGATCAATCCTCATAAAACCTTCATAGGTGACTAGCGTACGGACATACAGGCCCTTAAATGACGCACCTGCAAATTTTCTTCGTTATGTGAATGGTTTCACTTAAATAATTTCAGAAAGGTAATTACACGAATTTTTGATACCACATTACGGGTCGCCAGCGTTTGCGAACTAATGCTGGTGTGTCTCATCATTTAGCTTGAAAAACGTGCTATGGATGGCCAGTGATGAAATGAGAAAAACAGTGTTATTTCAATACCGTTTCTATCTGTTTAATCTGCTGCCGATCCCCAAAATCTTGAGCAACAGCTTAAAAGTTGTTCAAGTGATTTGAAAGTTAATATCCGAATGTTCCTCGGGTCGAGGAACACGAATTTGTTAGCAGATTTGATGTATCTACAAACTGGCGGAACCAGTATATCATATCCGGTATCATAATTTTTAAAACGAAAGAATAATAAAGGGTTGGCAATATTCAACGAAAATCATAGGAAAAAAACACATTTTCACTTTTCATTTTAAAAATCGTTTATTAGGGTTAAAGGAGATTTGTGAACATCATTTTTTGAAAACGATATCTCTTAAATGACCACCATGAGCCTGTACAGCGAAAAGTGCCCGTGATGCAGCATTTTCCATCGTTTTGGCCAATGTTTCGGTTGATATGGCGGCTATTTCCTGTCGGATGTTGGCCTTAAGTGCGTCTAGGCCCTTGGCTTGTTGACATAAACTTTCGAATAGTAGCCCCACAAAAAGAAGTTACCATTGCCACGAACAATTGGCATCAAAAAATCGTGATAACGCTCCTGATTGACGCTAACCGCTTCGCCAGCTTCATCTTCGAAAAAGAACGGCCCAATGACCATACCAGAACAAATACCGCACCAAGCAGTCACTTTTTGGTCACAAAGAGGTACATCGTGAATAATTTGAGGATTTTCAGTACCATAGAACCGACAATTTTGTTTGTTTACGGCTCCGGTTAACATGAAATGAGATTCATCGCTCATGATGATTTTCTGCCAAAAATGATCTTCATTTTCAGCCATTTCGATGACTCTTTGGGCCCATTCCAATCGACGTGGCTCATCGGCAGGTAACAGGTTTTGCGTCAGTTGAAGTTTGTATGGGAACAAATGCAAATCATAACGCAATATGCGACGTAAAGTGGTTCGTTTTATGCCCAACTGCTCAGATCGACGTGTTTGAGATGTTGTTGGAGACCTCTGAACACTGGTCCGTACGAGTGCGATATTTTCATCCGATCGTCTTGGTCGCTTTTTATTTGGACGCTTGGGATTAGTAAGTGCCTCACCTGATGAAAATCTTCCACACAAACGATACAATGTAGTCGCGGAAGGCGCAGTTTTCACTTTATTTATTTTTCTCCATGCACGTTGAAGTTTCAGAATTGACTTGTTTTGTTGAATGCAAATTTCAACAATCTGAGAGCGTTCGCGTGGAATGTACTGCTCCATTGCAAAAATCTCCTTAGACTGAAGCGTCAAAAGTGCTATGTCATTACTCGATCTGTCATCTCTGTCAAAAGTTACTGTGTTGCCACATCTTTTCGTCGAATATGGCCAACCCTGTATATACTCTATTGTAACAACACCACTTAAATGGCTCATTTGATCAGTGTCAAACAAGACTTCGTCTTTTTGTAGCTAAACCGAAGGATCATACTTCCCAAAGATGTAATAGTCAAACTATTATTATACAGAAAGTAAAAAATAACAATCCTGACGATCTAAAGCAGTTGATTATCTCCTATAAATGGGAAATAATCTGAAAAGCTAGAAGCATATGACGGTATTTAGGGCCATATCGTCAGTCATTCCTACTATTGACACCTTTATGGCCTCCTTGATTTTCATATTTTGCTAGCGCTCCGTGTCGGTGCCCTATTTTGAGGTTATGTTACAAATATCTATTTGCATCAAATTGTTCATGCTTTTGATCTATATCACCTGTTACATCAGCCTGAATTTTAATACGATTCTAAACGAAAGCCTCACAAAAGGAGACCGCTGACGCTAACACGGAACAGTAGAAATATAGGAATTCCTTCTGATGGAGAGAAAATACTACGAAAATCAAGTATGCCATACGACTGACGATATGGCCCTTAGGTTGGAGGTTAAGCCTGAGGTTATAAACAGACAGAAAAGTCCAATGTTCACGGCTCGCGTCAATAGACA